TGTTCTGGCCAGACAGTCTCCGCGCTCGTACCCCGGGGATGGCGGGGGGTTCATTGGTGGGCATAGGCGGCCGGGTGATAGAAACCCGTTGCGGTGGCAAGCCAGGGAAATCCGAGGAGGCTGGAACGGCTGGCAAAATCGAGGTGGGTGGAGCATAGGGCAAGGTGTTGGGCCCCATCTTCTGGTCGTCGTCATCTTCCGCAAGAGTCGACAAAGTAGCTCCGGCGCTGAGATTGGATGTCACCGAACTTTCCCAGGTTCTGCCCGACACGTTGCTCGACCCAGATTCTCGGGGAAGAGCAGACTTGGACTGAAGGCCGAATTCGAAGTCGTCCATTACATAGCCCTTGGTCATCTCCTCCAAGAGGCGCTCCTCCTCTTCCGCTTCTTCATCCAGATAATCCGGATCCACCCCAGGGGGAGGGCCATCCATCCTCTGTTCTTGCATGTGACGCATTGCACGGCCACGATTCATGGCCTCCGCCTCTCGTTCCGCCTCCCGAACCCTTTGCTTCGCCAGCTCGATATTCCTGCGAGCATTGGCCACAATATAGTCACTTTCATCTTCCTTATACTCCATGACTGGCTCTAGGCCTTCGTCGTACGCGGCCTCTACCGCAGCGTCCAGTGCAGCATCAAACGCAGCCTCGGTATCATTGCTCAGGCGACGGCTCGTCCGGCGGCGCAGATATACGGACGATGCCCTGGAATTGGCAGATGAGGGTGACGATGCACCAGACTCATCGATCGTGTCCAGCCACGACGTTGTTTCATTGGACTCCTGTGGCATGGAGGGTTCTCGGTATCGTGGATGCTGATTCTTCATTGACGATTGGCGCCTGGGAGGCACCATGCCTGAGGCCAACCGTTCCCTATCTTCCAGAGTGGCGTCTTGGAAGTTCAGACTGGAGCGGAGAGAGCTTGGTTGAGTATCGATAATTCCGTGGTCATCGAATTCCCCATATGACTCCTGACTCAAAGGGCGATCGGGAAGAGCCTTGCCATCATCTTCCGGGAGAGGAATGTCCAGGCGCTGAAGCTCGGTGATTCGGATCATATATGTGTCACGGATTTCTTGCAGCTTCATTTTTTCCTCCTCGCCACCATTGCTGCGGAACATGACCAATTGCAGAAGGTTGCAGGCATCGTTGTACGCCTCCATGGCGCCTTCAAAATTGGCCGCATTATCCAGCAGAACTGCGGTGTTTGCCTTTTGGAGAGCCCTGGAGAGCATAACTTTTTGGGTCTGGCTATGATGCCGCGATTCCGGACCCCCTTCCCCATCGGCTAGAGATATGGAGCCTTGGTTGGTATGAGCCACGCTGTTGGCGGGGCGGGCTGTTCCTGTGCCCGTTTGTGATTTATTGGGTGACTGATTTTGGGCGATATTGTCCGAGGCCGTAAATGAGAGGTCCAGGGGCGGGGAAGTCGGGTCAGCAGCAAACATGGCGGATGATCCAAGCTCGGGAAGCGACAACATCGGAGCATCCGTTGGCCCCCGTTGAGGACTATGGCTTCCCGTGCTTCGACTATAATCCACCACATTCCTCAGAGCCTGTGGGGACTGGCGATCCGCTGATATCGACATTTTGGAGCTCCCCCGGCGATGAATCCCGTAGTCCGATGGGGCCTTGCTCGATGCGGTTGAGTGGGACCAGCGATTGACACTCCCGAGTCCCTCTTTGATGGGGCTGACCGGCGCTGGGCTGTCCGAAGGCAAGTAAGGGACGTTTTCTGTGCGCGCGCCGAGGCCCGTTGGAGTGGCCGGGGGCTTCACCATGCGATTTCGCGAACTTGGTCGTGAGGAACGAGAGCTGGGCCGATTGGGAACGGCGAAGGGCGCTGAGTCTGGTATTGAGGGAGGCTTGGGCTGAAATGGCTTGAGATCATCCTCCACCGCCGAGTGGTGTAGCATTCTCACGGAGACGCGGGCTCCCCTGATCTATACTTCTGAGGCCACTCAATGCATCGCTTCGAAGACAGAGGCTGAACCAGTCTACCGGAATGCGATCATGGGACTGAGACACCTCCCTTCTCGCAATTGGCCTGGGAATTCACGGGTGGAAGTTAGTTGGGCCGATCGCAGGATGATCCTGGGGGGGTTGGTGGTTCCCAGAGAGAAGGGGAGCGAAGAGACTCACAATGAGATCGGAGGGTGGCAGGCGCAGGAATAATCCTGGACAGGACCGAGCCAGTGGTGAGTCCAGACGACGGGCAGTGGTCCTCGGTCGTTGGGGGAGTCAGGGGTCAAACTAGTTGATAATAATAATAATGGTCCAGTCGGTCCTCGATAACAATTCAGGGGAAGGCGGTGGCCGATGCGGGGGCTGAAGAACACGGGTGGTTCGTGCAAAGTATAGGAGAGAGAGTGAATCCAAGTAGGTATGGGGGAGAAAGGAGAGAAGAAGCGACGAAGAAGATGAAGAAGAAGAAGAGAGGCGATCAATAAATAAGAACAGAGGAATCTTACCTATGTTCTGCCGAGAGGATATCCCTAGTTGACAGATCAGAGTGGCATCTATCCATCCTCCATCCACGGATCGATCGCTTAGGTGCGGCTCACTTAAGATGGCCGGCCTGTTGCGCTTCTTTTCTCCTCTGCCCACCCGTTGTTCCCAGAGACTTCCTTGCTTCCAAAGACGGACAATGGCCACCATCAGCACCATCAACCCGCCGCGGGATCCCAACACCCTCAGCAACTACAACAACTGGCGGTCCACCCACATCACCGCCAACCTCGATATCCGCTTCGACCAGAAGCTGCTGGCCGGCAATGTCATCCACCAGTTCAAGTCCATCACCGACGCCCAGTCGCGCGAGATCATCCTCGACACCAGTCATCTCGACATTGGCGCCGTCAAGGTCGACGGCAAGCCCTCCCAGTGGGAGTTGCTGCCCCAGCTGGAGCCTTTCGGCACGCCCTTGAAGATCACCCTCGAACAGGGTGTGAAGCTGAATGGCACCCTCGAGGTCGAGGTAGGTCATTGAAGTGACGGATCATCTGGATGCAGACTGACCGTGCATGCATAGATTGCGGTGAAGACCACCGATCGCTGCACGGCGCTCCAATGGCTGACGCCGGCCCAAACTTCCAACAAGAAACATCCCTATATGTGTAGGTGGCTCCGGGAACAGGACTTCCCCTAGAATACTTTCTAGGAGGCCGGCTGTGGCAGTCATGGCTAACACCAACCGCTCCAGTCTCGCAATGCCAGGCCATCCACGCTCGGTCCATTTTCCCGTGTCAGGACACTCCGGATGTGAAGAGTACGTTTGACTTCAACATCACCTCGCCACTGCCGGTGATTGCCAGTGGTGTGCCGATCCGACAGTCCTCGATGACCTCCCAGTCCGGGAACCAGCTGTATCGATTCCACCAGTCCATTCCGATCCCTAGCTATCTCTTTGCACTAGCCAGCGGGTACAGTCCCTCCTCTCTGTCTCTTGCGTCATTGTATTAACTGGAACCCCAATCAAGTGATGTGGCGGAGGCCCCCATTGGGCCTCGCAGTGTCGTGGCAACCAGCCCCGACGAGCTCGCCGGGTGCAAGTGGGAGCTCGAGAATGACACGGAGAATTTCATCACGACCATCGAGAAAATTGTCTATCCCTATGTCTGGGGCGAGTACAATGTCCTGATTCTGCCTCCGAGTTTCCCGTATGGTGGAATGGAGAATCCCATCTTCACTTTCGCCACTCCCAGCATCATTTCAAAGGTATGTTCGGATAGGATCCTTCTTGATGATGATAACTGACATGATCTCCAGGACCGGGAAAATATTGATGTCATTGCGCACGAGCTCGCCCACAGCTGGAGCGGCAACCTCGTCACCAATGCCTCGTGGGAGCATTTCTGGCTGAATGAGGGCTGGACCGTGTACTTGGAGAGACGGATTCTGGCTGCCATTCATGGCGAGCCGTACCGACATTTCTCCGCCATTATCGGATGGAAAGCGCTGACTGATGCCATGGAACACTTTGGCCACGACCACGAATTCACCAAGCTGGTGGTGGATCTCAAGGGTAAGGATCCGGATGATGCATTCTCCAGCATTCCCTACGAGAAAGGGTTCAACTTCCTGTTCCACCTCGAGAACCTGGTCGGCAAGCAACAGTGGGACAAGTTCATCCCTCATGTGCGTGGAACTCTTTTTTGCGGTGTTGGTCATGGCTGACTTCCTCTTTAGTACTTCACCGTCTTCAAGACCAAGTCTCTCGATTCCTATGAGTTCAAGGCGACCGTCCTGGATTTCTTCAAGTCCGATGCCGAAGCATCCAAGGCCCTGAACGAGCTGGACTGGGATAAGTGGTTTTACGCTCCCGGCCTGCCTCCCCAGCCGACTTTTGATACTTCGCTTGTGGACGTGGTCTACGAGCTTGCTCAGAAATGGAAATCTCTCCCCGGCTCGTCTTTCAAGCCCCAGGCCAGCGATATCCAGGATCTGACAGCAAACCAGATCGTGGTCTTCCTGGAGCAGGTTCTCCGTTTCGAGCAGCCCCTCCAGCCCGAGCTGTCGAAATTGATGGGTGAAGTCTACGGGCTGGCCAAGAGCGAGAATATTGAGGTGGCTAACCTCTACTTCCAAGTCGGCATGAAGACTGGGGATGAGAGTGTGATTGAACCGACTACGGAACTGCTAGGCCGGATCGGAAGAATGAAGTTTGTGCGACCATTGTATGTGCCCCGTGTCTTGAGTCCTGTGTACCTTTGCGATATGCTAACCTGATCTGGTCCAGGTACCGCAACCTCCAGAAAATCAACCGGCCCGTTGCCCTCGCGACGTTTGAGAAGTATCGCGACTTCTACCACCCGATCTGCCGTGCCATGGTCGAGAAAGACCTATTCGGCAAGAAAGACAATTAGACTGTTTGCCAGTGATGTTCTCCGTTCTAAAAGGAGTGTGGATGAAAAGTGGGTGTGTCATATTATACATGATTTTAGCACCAGGAAGTATCTCAATAGTAAAACAGGAATCCAAGAAAGTTTTCCGTCGACATGATCACCGGCTGGACTCGACAAGTTTCCGATCTGCCTCCGAGTATCCAAAGATAGTGCCCCTGTCCTTGCCGCTGAGAGTAAAGACCATATCAGCCTCACTCACTTGCGAGAGTTGCGACAGGACCCGCCGCATATACGCCACTACCAATGCGACCTGAGACCAGTTCAGTTCCTGACCATCGGGTCCCGTCGGACTAGCCTTCCACAAGTTTCGCCAGATAGCAGCACCCAGCACCGCGTCGCCCTTGACCAGACCTTCATCGTAGGCAGCCAGCACACCGCGCCACTGAATAAATAGATCCTTGAGGTACTTGTTCCGGATGGTGCGGCTGCTAATATCATGGAGCTCATCCATCCGGTGCTCTGCGTTATGTGAGAAGTGGTCGATCAGGTGGCGGGAGTAGGTCTGGACGCTGTCGCGGGACGGAAGCGCGCGAAGCCGGACAGTCAATAGATACATGTGGAGAAAGGTCACTTGCGACCAGGTGGAAAAGGTTGGCAGAAGACCGAGTTCTGTATACCCACGAGAGCGCGCGAAGATTAGTTTCTACCACAGCCAGGACGAGGGAGTGGGCTCACCTTTAAACCACCAACTCTCACCCACGCCCAGGTCTTCACCAGCTTCTGTTTTAGGCACAGGAACTCCCTTCTGGGATATCTGTGGAATCTGATAATCGGCCTGGCTGGAGCAGGCCTCGAAGAGTTTCTGGGTCATGCCGTATGCGACGTAAATTTCGGCCGCTCCGCCGGGGCGTGGCGCGGCACTTCTCGCCAGGCGCGGTGATTGCGAGTAGGATCGAATCAGAGAGAGTGGACTCGTGGGTACGGGCCGAAATGGTTCAGCCGGTGTATTCGAGGCGTTGCCACTGGTATACCGGACAGGGTGCTGCGCGGCGGTCGAGAGCGAGGCCCTCTGGGATTGGGGCTGCAGTTGGCGGGTCAGCTTGCGCGGTCACCTCTAGGGATATATATGTGCACACCTGGACCCATCGCGACTGGCGAAACCCTCGCACACCTAATGTTAGTGTTCTAGACATTGCTGCGTGATGGGAGAATCGTGAAGGAGGATTGTTACGGACGGGGGAAAACCAGCCCGTTTGCACTGTTTGTCTCCCGAGTGATAGATAGGAACCTTGAACGTAAGATCATCATTGTTTCATTCATTATTGATATTCATCTATGACATTAATTTGCACAATGCTCCTGTTTTCATACAGTCCACGTTGATATGTCGGTTGCGACGTTTGTGGACCCGCTGCCCAAGACATCGGTTCTGCTCCATGAGCTCACGGTTCTTCAAGCGATGCACGATGGTCTGTTTCGTACTCCGCAATCCTGCTCAAATATCCTTTCTGATTCGGATACAATATAGCTTCGTCATTCATTGCACGTCGACCGTAGGCCAAGAAGAGTGATGTTTCCGATTCACTTCAGCCATCGAGAGGAACCCTCTCCGAGCGTTTGTCCACGAGAGGCAACACCTCGGACAACCGGTTGGGGTCTCGCATAAACGCCGGCACATCCTCCCTGGTCGCTGCCAGAGTCTGCAGATTATTAATCGACTAGGTCATCGTCAGGAAGAGGGCTGTACCGTACCTGTCGAATTTTCTCATATTCGCCCTCCTTGGCCTGGTATTCCCGGATCACCTCGCCACTCTCAAAGTCCACATAGACCCTTGTGTCTCGAATTCGAACCAGGACGTTATCAAGGCGCATGAAGAACCGGGACAGCAGAAGTAGCCGACCCGGCATCACGCGGATCTTGCATGAGAGCATCGCAATCCCATTGTCGGCGAGCTCGTCTTCGTAAAGAACAACTTCGTCAAAGAATAGGATTGGATCAGGCCGTTTGAGGAGTTCAATGGGGATCGGTTTGGTGGTTTCTTCGAATGGGCGGGCATTGGGGTGGAGGGTGCCTTTATAGTCGGTGCTGTAGGACCAGTCGAACGGCTTCACCACTTCTTTAATGCCCTCGTGGGTCTTCTCTCTAAAGAGACCTCCGGGTTAATGGCATGCGATTGCATGGACACAACAACATACCTGCTTTTCTGCCATTCTCTCGAATAGGCCACCTGGAGCATGGACTGTCCCGTCTTGTCCACCCGGTCTAGCGCGTCAAATGCGTTGAATTGAATCCCCCAATCGCCCTTTTCCCGCTCAATGGCCACAAAATTGTCTCCAAAGATCATCTCGGGTGGCGCAATGCCCAGCTTCTTGGTCATCTCCTCAATCGGCTCTGCCTTGAGAATGGGTAGCTTCTGTGTCGAGATGCGGAAGCCCCGGATGGAGACGGAGGTGGGATGTTTCGCATCTGGCGACACGGCCGCGTGCCCGGGGGCAGCGGGTTGAGGGGGATGGGAGGCCATAGCGGTGGATGGGGATGAAGCTGGTCAGATAAGGAACGTGAGATAACCCCGATATGCCGGATTAAATGCCCGGGCCGAAGGGGTTGCCGGGGCGACGGAGGCAAGCACGAACCGACAGCCCAAACACAACCAGATCATCAACTCACTTTCGAACTGCTCCACGACCACCTCGCTTTTCACCCTCCCACTTCTGCCCTTTCCATTACTAACCATGGCCGCCAAAACCCTGGAAGCTCGTTTCGAGCATCTCTCTGTCAAGGACGAGAAGGAGAATGGCAGCTGTGATCGGACCTACAAACACAAGGTACTACATACTTGACCTCGTCCATTGTACCAGGTTTGAATCTAACCACCTTTCCTCCAGGGCTCCTCCCTGTCCACAGCCGTCTCATTGTCCGGCCTAGGTGCGGCGGGCCAAGTAAACAACAACTCCAATCGCGCCCACCTGCTGAAGCTGGCTCTTCAGAACACTAATGACAATAAAACCAACACGATGAATTCCCCGGGCAAGGGGTCGCAGGGGAAATCCACGGTCCGGAGTGATGAGGCCGACCAACGCAGCTCTACAGTCCTGTATGACCAGCCCTCAGTACCCAAGCAGCTACACCTGGGAATGTTTGAGATTGGAAAGCCTCTGGGCAAAGGCAAATTTGGCCGAGTCTATCTGGCCAAGGAGCGGTCTTCCGGCTTTGTCTGCGCTCTCAAGGTCCTGCACAAGTCCGAGCTGCAGCAGGGCGGCGTCCAGAAGCAGGTTCGCCGTGAGATCGAAATCCAAAGCAATCTGCGGCATCCCAATGTCTTACGACTCTACGGCCATTTCCATGACAGCAAGCGAATCTTTCTGATTTTGGAATTCGCTGGTCGGGGAGAGCTGTACAAGCATCTCCGGAAAGAACACCGCTTCCCCGAGTGGAAGGCTGCGCAGTATATTGCGCAGATGGCAGCGGCATTGAAGTATCTGCACAAGAAGCATGTGATGCACCGCGACATCAAGCCCGAGAACATCCTCGTTGGCATCCACGGCGAAATCAAAATCAGTGACTTCGGGTGGAGTGTCCACGCGCCCAACAACCGACGCCAGACCATGTGTGGAACGCTGGACTATCTGCCTCCAGAGATGCTCAAGCCCGGCCCGCAAGGCAACTACTATAATGAAAAAGTGGACTTGTGGAGTCTGGGTGTGTTGATCTATGAATTTCTCGTGGGAGAAGCCCCCTTTGAGGATACGCCCGTCATGACCCACCGGCGGATCGCTCGGGCAGATATGTCCGTGCCATCATTTATCAGTCCGGAGGCGAAAGATCTGATCAAGCGGGTGAGTTTTGTTCTCCTTTTGTTGATGACCTCGGGCGCTGACTAGTAATACAGCTGCTTGTCCTGGACCCTGAGAAGCGGATTCCGCTGGACGACATCCAGCGGCACCCTTGGATCGTCAAGCACTGTGTCAAAGATGATAAGGTGTTGAAGCGAAGTTCCGGCCAGACCAAGGACGGCAAAGCATGATCTGTTCTCGATGCATGCAGATTATCGGTGTTGGGGTGTTTTTTACTGCGTCTTGGAGTCTGCGGTGTTGGTTCTCATTAGCATTTTTGGGTTTTGGGAGTTGCTTCTGCGCTGGGGGATAATTGGGGAGAGATGCGCGATATGGCACCATGTGAAGTTAATCTCAGTCTTGCAATCGCGTCCATCAAATATGATACATTCAAAGAAAAGGTCTAGGTAACACAAGAGAAGAGAGAATCGTGGTCTGCGCTATGAAAACAGGGAGGAGGTATCATCGGAAGATTTCATCAAACGGCCGTGTGTCTTTGAAGCAGCTATCCCAGACTTCATTGACCACTCGCTCGGCATGGGCCTCATCCTTGCAGGTTGGCCGAGCCCGGACGGACAGAATTGCTCGTCGTCGCACACATTCTTGATGCTGCTGTGTGAGTTTCCATTGGCCTCTGCGGAAGAACTCGCGTGCCCATCTGCATTCGCCGCTGAGCGAGCTGGCTCGGATCTAGCGAGAGAGACGGTTAGCCGGTGAATGAACCATTGATGTGTGGAAATACCTCTGTGCAAGCGGCATGACGCAGATTATCTGTCCAGTCTACTTTAAACCGCAGATGATCATAGGCATGAACCATCTCATGCGCAATGGTATCCTCCAGATGACCCCGGTCCTTCATCTCGTTCGCGCACACGAGAATTCCGTACTGCGGATCGAATCCGCCGGCCTTTCGGTTCGTGCACCGGCGGCAGTAGATATTGTGACTGTGGAGATCGCCGCCCAGTTGTCGGATATTGTCGGTGAGAAAACGGATCACGGGGCCTTCAAATCCAATGTTAGAGTCTAGGGTTTCCCGTTTGGCTCAAGCAGCTCACTATATTGAAGAAGATAGTCCCGCTGTTCCTCGCAGCGCTTGCAATCGGCCACTTCGTTCCGGACATCGCGCGCGACGCGGAACTTCTCGATGCCCTCGGCGGACATCTTCCCGGTGAGGATGGAATATATATTGCGGAACTGGGTCCAGGTGTCATCACCGGGGATGTATCCTGAGTCGGGCTTGTCAGCTGGGGGTGCAGCCGCACCGGGCGACTGGGAGTCTGGCATGTCGAGAACTCTAGGGATCAATCCATCCATCTCGGTCGCAAAGAGAAGAATCTCCGGAGAGGCGGTGAGAGATGGCAGAATGACGGTAACGGAACGCGATGTAGAGCGGGCAACCTTGACCTTCTCGGTTACCAGACACCATGGCTGCCATTGGGACATACAACATGTCCCCCTCCGGGCTAACTATCGTGATCAAGTTGGGTACGGGAATTTCTCCCTGATCGGTTTCGGTCTCGTCCTGAAATATAGACCTATACTGACCACCCCACTTTGCCGGACAGGAACGAGTTCTATTGTCGACGAGGTTACCCATGAGCCCATCCTCTCGATCCTAACATTAATCGTGGAGACTGTCGCCCAGTTGCGCAAGGATGGCCACAAAGTGGTCCTGGTATCATCAGGCGCCATTGGAGTCGGCCTGCGGAGGATGGATATGGAGAAGAAACCCAAACACCTGCCACGGATACAGGTGTGTCTGCTGTCAAATCCCGTTTGGGGCTGGAACTGACCTGAATCATTAGGCTCTAGCGGCCGTTGGTCAATGCCGGCTGATGAGTCTGTGGGACAACCTCTTTTCGCATCTTTGGGTCCCGGTGGCCCAGATTCTCTTAACGCGAAATGACATTGCCGATGTAAGTCTCTTGCTTTTCGCCTGCCATTTTGCCATCTGACACTCTACCCAGAGATCCCAATATGTCAACGCACAGAATACCTTCGAGCAGCTCTTTGATATGGGCGTGATTCCTATAGTCAACGAGAACGATACCCTGGCCGTTTCTGTAAGACTCTTTTATTTTCTGCTCTTTCGCCCCTTCTCACCTATCGCCTTCTTAAGGAAATCAATTTTGGCGACAATGATACCCTATCAGCCATCACTGCTGCCATGGTGAAAGCGGACTATCTTTTCCTCATGACCGACGTCGACTGTCTCTATACTGCAAACCCGCGCACGAACCCGGATGCAGAACCCATTGAAGTTGTCTCAGACATTGCTTCGCTAGAAGCCGACGTTTCGTCCGCAGGATCGGCACTGGGAACGGGGGGCATGAGCACCAAAATTGTGGCTGCCAAATTGGGGACCAGTGCTGGAGTCACGACCATTATAACGAAAAGCTCGAAGCCAGGGAACGTTCACGAGATTGTGAAGTACTTGCAAACCGTTCAGCAGGAGCCTCAAGACGACGCACAGGACATACCCAGGCCTCCTCTTCATACTCGATTCCTTCCTTCGGACACTCCGATCAAATCTCGGTCATTCTGGCTGCTCCACGGCCTCACTCCACACGGGACTCTGTACATCGATCATGGGGCATACAATGCACTTCAAAATAAAGCAAACCTCCTTCCAGCCGGAGTGGTTGCTGTGGAAGGACACTTCGGGCACCAGGAATCGGTACGGTTGGTGGTTGTTGATCGACCTTCCGAGGATGCTCTGAATGGAGACTTCCCGCTCGACGGACAGGAGCTCAACGAAGTCGGTCGCGCGCTGGTCAATTATGGCAGCATCGAAATTGCACATATCAAGGGCCACCGGAGCTCGGAGATCGAGTCGGTGCTTGGCTACTCGGACAGCGACTATGTGGCAGTGCGTGAGAATATCTCGTTTCATCCAGATGACTGGCTCAGTCACTCGCCCACCCCAATAACGCCTGCCCTGGAGGCATGGAGCATATAGTTCATATCTCGAACTTTTACATAATTGGTCTGATCTTTTCAACACTTTACCGAGGGGATGGTTGGTCGTTTTGTTCAACCATAATGGGATGGTCAGAGTTCGGTATAGAAGGACCACATGAAAATAGAAGCACAGGACATTGATATGAAATGTTGCGAACAGGACACGAGTAAATGATCTCAATGACATCTTTGTTTCATCGCCACCACACATGACTTTAATCCTTCCACCGCTCCAGCCATTGCTGCATCCTCTTATCCAGCGTTGGGGCAGCCGCGGGAGCAACCTAAATCACGAATTAGACTCCTCAGCGGGATTGATATCGGGTCAGAACATACATTATTCTCAGTGGCGGCTACCGTCGCAGACAGATACTCCGACAGGGTTGTTTGAACCGTCGGTTCACCCAGATAGGTCGTTGCAATAACGAAAGGAAACGGCGGATACTGTGGCGTAGGCGACTTGTCTAAGATAGTACTGCCGGCACGTTTCGGCATTGGAGCATACTTGGTCGGACCAGTTTGCATCCCAAAGGGCACGGTGTGCATGCCCAGGTCCTGGCGTTTGCGTAGTTCGTTGCCATGGATCTCGTTTTCGATTGGGGCTGGGAACTGGAGGACGGATTCTGTGTTTCCCATGGGGGCTGACTGCTTGGATGTCGGGGTTGGGTTGGGGCCTTCTTCGAGGAGACGATCTTCTTCCCCTAGGGTCAAGGGGAGGGCAAGTGCCGGTGTCATGGATCTGATTGCGTGGGAGATTTGGGGGGGGAATGAGCCTTTCATATTGGTCAATGTAAAGTGGTAGGTGTAGCCGGACCAGGAGTCGTTTGGTCCAGTAGAAACAATCTTCAGGAAGCTATTCAAGGGTCGGTCAGTAGGAGTATGTTTCCACTTGTGGGAGGTTTCATACTATGCGTTGGGCTCATTTCCACCCACGCTCTGGTTCACGCGGAAAGACACCCAATCCCCCGGTGCAAATGTACCCTCCTGGACAACTTGAGCTAGGCAGTCCTGCATGTGTATATCTCAGTGGTTGGTCATTTCTGGATATGGGTTTCATCCCACTTACATAGGAGTCTGTGGTCTCGTCGCCAGCACATAAATAGAGATCGTACCTCGCTGTTCCCTTGCTCTCATAAGACCAAGCCAGACTCACCACGTCGTCAGAATCAAAAGTCAGCCCGTTGGCGGAGATGATCTGGGCGTGTGAGATCAGGAACCAGGCAAAGAACACTGACAATAATGGATGGATTGCCATGCTGAAGGAAGTCGACAAATTTCACACGAAAGAAGAAGAAGAAGAAGAAGAAGAAGAAGAAGACAAAGAGCAAACAGGGAGGTGAGTCGAGTAACCACCCCTACATTCCATACTTCAGGTAGTTAGGGCTAGGATGGGCAGCTGATTGATGGCCCGTGCTATCGATCAGCTCCCTCCACTCGGTTTCGCTCCGTTGTTTCGACCATCAACTCCCACCCGACCATGGCGACTGAACCAGGCTGGAACTCCGTGACGGGCGTCGCTACCAAGTTGCTCGATGGCAACCTTGTCGCCATCGCCATCGCAGTGCTCGTCACCTTCGGTGTGCCGGTGCTGCTGCACGTCATCTTCTACCGCAGCGCAGCCGCTCCGCCCTCGAGCAACTTCCTTCTGCTGGGGCCGAGCGGTGCTGGGAAAACAGCTTTCACATCCTTGGTAAGCGTTTCTCTCCTACTAATTCTTCTCTTACTGACATGATCGTGACAGCTCGAGGCTAAATCCTCTCCCGCCTCCAAAAAATCCCACCTGACGCACACCTCCCAGTCCTCAACGCTGGTGACCGTCGGCCTTCCTCCGGATGTTCCCACGGCCTCCAACCGCTATCGATCCGTCAACGACCCTTCTCTGAAAGAAACCTCAAGAAATCCCGTCAGATACCGTGTGCAAGATACCCCCGGCCATGGCAAGCTGCGCGCTTCCCAGGGAATCTCCCAGCTGCAGGCCATGTCCCACTCCAATGATGCCAAGATAAAATTACGAGGTGTGCTGTTCATGGTCGATACGGCAGCTCTCGTGGATGAGGCAACGCTCCGGGACAGCGCCACCTATTTGCATGATGTGCTCCTGGTTTTGCAGAAGCGAGCTCTGAGCAAGGGCAAGTCGTCCGCCAAGGTCGCTACGGAGGTTCCGGTGCTGGTGGCTGCCAACAAACAGGATCTCTTTACTGCGCTCCCACCCGGCTCCGTGCGGGAGAAGTTGGAGGCGGAGATTGATCGGATCCGCAAGTCGAAGACGAAGGGCCTTTTGGATGCTAGTGCGGGCTCGGGCGTGGACACGGAAGAAGATGAGGTTCTCGGGAATGATGGAGGTCTGGAGGTATTCAGTTTTAAGCTGCTAGAGGAGGAAGTGGGTGTCAAGGTTGATGTGGTCGGTGGAGCCGTCAAGGGTGACCCGAATGAGGAATTGGGATCGGGCGTGCGCCGGTGGGAGGAGTGGGTTGGACTGTGTTTGTAGATGAATAGTAAAAAGAAGAAGATTGTATGTATATTATATTAATCTACGTCCCAGTCAAATCCTAGAGTCTCTGTCGCTTGCGCATCAACCCAGTCCTGATCGATTAGTATCGATATATATATCTCTTGGGTTGGAGACATCACTTACCCACAAATCCCGCGCCAGCTTCGGATCCTGTGCCGTCGCACTCGGCGCACACAGCGTCGCAATGGGAATAAAGTACTTCCCCCGGTAATTCTTGCGACGAACCTCCGGGCTGGCAGCCAGATACACCGCGGTGGCTGCCCCATCTTGCAGACTTTGCCCAAAGAATCTCCCTAACTTGCGCAAAATACCCCCCAAAAACCCGCCAACATACGCACTCCACGCGTTCCACTGGTCCGTCACAATATTCCCGGGAAAATAGGAGTTGACATAGATGTGCTGGGCCGCTGGATCCCGGTCCATGAGTAGCCGTCGACTCAGCTCATTCGCAAACAGGATATTTCCCAGTTTCGACCGGCCATACCGCCAGATGCCATCCCACATGTTCGACCACTTCACAATGCGCGAGGGCGAGGTGAGCAGATCCAGATCCAGATGGCGACAGACTACATGCAGCACCGAGCTCGTGATCACCACCCGGGCGTCGCCGTTGTCGGTGTGCATTACTGCTCGCTTTAGCAAAGGAATCAAGAGAATCGTCAGGACTTGGTGCCCGACACAATTAGTTGCGAAGACCCAGTCGATATTCTGCGCTGAGCGGTTGTATTGCGGCGGTACGCCCAATCCTGCGTTGCAGACCAGGAGGTGAACATATTCGGTGCTCCGCTTAATGTGATCCGCGGCGGCTTTGACTGCGTTGATGTCGCCCAGGTCGCACGGGACAAACTCGACACGGGAATTGTCTTCATCGAGCAACTTGCGCTGCTGCCATGCTTGAAGCGCTTCTTGGTACTTGGTGGCGCTGCGGGCGATGATGAACACCTTGGCTATGCCGTGCTCCAGAAGCTGAGCGGTGATTTCTACAACCTCATTCTTAGCTACTCTGATGTTTGAGGGGTGTCTCTGGGCGCTTGCCTTGACCGATGCCTGCTTGGCCCCCCTGCGATGCGGTTAGGATGATGCACAGGCAGTAAAGAGGGAATAGTTAGGTTAGCGACCGACACACCGTCACCACTGCTACTCGTCCATCCAGGTCAGGAGTGTCTTGCAGCGAAAAATTCTGGTACATGAAGATGCCGGTCATTTTTCCTGGGAGGTAGAAAGGGAGATGCGGAGAGAAATCTACGATCTTGAATGGTCGGAGCATATCCCCCACGTCATCCTGATCAAATCGGTCTAGGTATTCGGTTTTTTTTCTTCTATTTGACCTGTATTAATATTAACTCACAACGCCGCTCCCTCTGCTTCTATCCCGATTCTACTCGACTGTGTTGAAAGTTGAAGCTGCGGAACCCATCACCCTGACAAAATAAAAGCAATCCATTGTTGAAACTCCAAAAATGTTTCCGAAAATGCACCTTATTGAGATTTGCCGTGATGCAGCATCCAAGTGAGCAGGTCGACTTTGGTCACCACCGCCATTGGCTTCATTGCGCCACTGTCGTCTCGCTCCGTCACCACCGCGGCACTATTCCACTCAAAGAAGCGGTTGAGCACACTGAGCGGGGTGTCCATGGTGATTTCCACAAAATGACGGTCCTTGATTTGCGGCCGCAACGTGTCCGTCTTTCCGTTGGCGTGGCCATTCTGCTTTACTCCTAGATCGCGTGGGTCCGTCACGATCTCGGGAATCTTGGAGAAGTCAAACATGACTTCCGACACGGGACTCTCTCCCGTCGCCCGTCCATGAGTTAGTCGGCTGAGGACGTTGCCCAGCGTGATCAGGCCCACGAGTTTGCGGCCGGAGGGCGCCAGGACGGGAAGCTGGTCGAAGCCCTTCTCCCGCATGATCTCGATTGCGGCCCCGCATGCAAAGTTCGTCCGCACGGTGGTGACCGGTTTCAACCGCAGGGCGCTGACCTTGGCCCCGGCCAGCGGGTCCTTCGGGGGCTGCGGCTGCTCCTTCTGCATGGCCGTAGCGGCTCCGCTAGAGGCCGTAGAAAGAAGATCGTTGGCAGCCAGCCAGTCATCGTCGGCAAACTGGGAACCGTCAGTACGGACTGACATATCAACAATTGTGAAGACTGTCCTACCTTGGTGAGATAGCTGCGAATGCTGTCGGGAAGAATCACCACGACCACATCATCCTGGGAGAACTTGTGCTCCTCGTTGGCCTTGACCAACGCGGCGATGGCACTGCCACTGCTGCCACCCACCAGCAAACCTTCCTCGGCGATGAGCCGCCGCGAGTACTGGAAGGACTCCTTGTCTCCGGTCTTGTACCACTGATCGACGGCCTTTTGGTCCAACACCTCGGGGATGAAGTCGTACCCAATGCCTTCCACTTTGTAGGGTTCATTGGCATGCAGGTCATTCAGAGCAGCGGGCAGGGCCAGAATCGATCCGAAGGGGTCGGCCGCAATTACACTCACAGCTGGGTTATGCTTCTTCAAGCCTCGGGAAAGACCGGTGATGGTACCACCCGTGCCTGCGCCGGCGACAACCGCGTTGATCTGACCTTTGGTCTGTTCCCAGATCTCTTCGGCAGTGCCATACTCATGGGCCAATGGGTTGTTCTCGTTGCCGTACTGGTCCAAAATGTGGGCATTCGGGAGTTCCTTCTGGAGACGCTTTGCGACACCGATATGGGACTCGGGGGAATCGTAGGCGGCCTCGTTGGGGGTTCGGATGATGGTTGCATTCAAGGCACGGAGTACGGCGACTTTTTCCGCGGACATCTTTTCGGGCAGGGTGATGATTATCTTGTAGCCTGTTTCGAATCGAACGGTAAGAAATAATATCGTCGTCAGATCAGCCTGTCAACTCACCCTTGACCGCGCCCACCAGCGCCAGTCCAATACCACTGTGTCCACGAATTAGTGTCTGCATGATCAGCTCGACGGGGAGGGGACGAACGTGTTCCCGCTGGTCGGCTCAATCAAGGTGTCGCCCGGCTTGATGCGACCTGAACGCTCAGCCTCCTCAATCATGCGCAGGGCAATCCGGTCCTTGACGCTGCCACCAGCGTTGAAATACTCCAGCTTAGCGTAGACGGTGGCCTCGATGCCCAGACTGCGGGGCAGGCGGTTGAGGCGCACCAGCGGCGTGTTGCCGATATGCTGGGTGATGGAGTCCAGCGCCACGGGGGGCATAGCCGGTCTGGTGATGGAGGCCATTGGGTGTGTGGTGGGAGAGTAGGAAGGATAGGAAGGGGAAGAGAGAAAGAAGAACGAAAAGAGTTTGACGTTGTCGCCATCATGAAGTGTAACTACAGATTATCCGACGATAGCCGTTCCAGACCGATCCAGGCCCCATCACAATGCTCGACTCCAACTGATCTAATAATTATCATCATCCTAGCATTGATTCATCTCGACTGACCACTCGCTAAATATTCTCCTATTGCGTGGGGCCGAACTTCGAAGGAATTGGATCCGAGTCCAACTCTCGGGGCCGAACTTGTAGTTCTTCGGCGCCGACAACATCCTCAGTAGGAGCATTATAAAAGGAGTGTCTAACCGACCTAGCGATCATAATTAACTACCCATCCATTTCTACTATCGTACTAATGAGTCCACCTGGCTCGGTTCTCATCACGGGCTGTAGCGACGGCGGTGTCGGCTCGGGCCTCGCGCTGGTGTTCCAGGCAAGAGGGTACCACGTCTTCGCGACCACCCGGAGCCCAGAGAAAATGTCCACTCTCAAGGATCTCCCCAACGTCACCTTGCTGCAGCTAGATGTCGTCGACCCCAGCCAGATCCGTGCCGCGGTAGAGGCTGTGACGGCGACCACCGGCGGAACCCTATCGGTCCTGATCAACAATGCCGCGCGGTTTCATCTGAGGCCGTTGCTCGACGATGATCTTGAGGCTGCCAAGCAGACCTTTGAAACGAACGTCTGGGGTCCGCTCGCGGTCACCAAGGCATTTGCACCGCTTTTGATCCAGGCTCGGGGGATGCTGGTCAACATCACCACCATTGCCGGACACAATCCGATGCCATACTCGGGTAGGTTTGTGTGTAATTCCATGGGAGGGAAATTAATGGCTTTTGAACTTAGGGGTCTATGGCGCCTCGAAACGCGCCCAGGAACATATGTCCGACGTTTTCCGTCTCGAGCTGGCCCCCTTCGATGTGAAGGTCCTGTCCGTGGTGACGGGTGCTGTCGCGAGTGGCCAGGGCGCCCAGAGCGTTGTGCTGCCATCCGATTCGCGGTATAAGGCCATTGAGCCCATCATCGCAGCCCGGGGGAGCAATAGCCACTCTCGAATGCCCGTGGTGACCTACACCACTCAGGTGGTGGATCAGATTGAAGCGGGGACCACCGGCAAGGTGTGGCTCGGGAACCATGCGGAGGAAGCCAAGCAGGCGACTCTGAATCCGGAGAAGGCTGCGGAATGGGTATGTTTAGTCTGTCCTGGACGCGGGTGGTGCTAATTGTGGCGTAGGAAGGTTTTATTTCGAAGAGTATGGGGTTGGATCGTTTATAGCATGATGTACTCGTGGAACTATGTCTCCTTCACCGCCAAGTGTGGCGGAGCTGCTCCACCCGGATTCGTCCTGTTTGTTTACTTTTCTGTCCGTACTTCCTTCGACGGTCCCAGTTGCTTCGATTCGGATGTGGACTAAGTAATTAGACTGAAACGGATCGTGGCGGTGCACTGCTAACCCACGGGCATCGCAATCTCGTCCGTCGAGGATCTGCATCCCATCCGGCGCCAAGCCCCCCTGAATCGATGGATTCGCCAGATAGATTATTATTGGCCTGGATGCGGTGGATTCTTATGGAGGGATGGATTGACGTGTGGAGGGTCTGCTTGCTTTTTCCTAGGCGTCTCTCCCTTCTTCGACTCCTGTTTGTCCATCCCAACACTCCTTTCATCCCATCTCGTTCGTTTTGTCATTTCTCTTCCCCCTTCTTCTTCTTCTTCTTCGTAGATAGCCCCTTTCTTGATTGTCTGGAGCCAAGATGGGCTCCATCAGGTCCTCCGCGTCCCAGACCGCGGTCCATGCGAATACGAGCGGTGAAGACTTGAAGGCTTCCGAGTCCAACGGAGCCCAGCAGCAGACCATCTTGCCCACTCACAATGAGAAAGCCCTCGCCCGCCGACCAGGGCTCTTCCGCGTCGACAGCGCCGGTGAGAGCGGACGCCGAGGAATCGACCCGCTCAAGATGCTTCTCGTCAGCTTCAGGAGCACCTGTACGCTGTCCATGATCGTCAACATCCTGTGGCCCTTTGTGCCAGCCGCCATTGTCATGCATTTTGCCCGTTCCGAAAGTCATGTCTGGGTGTTCAGTCTCAACTATATTGGTAGGTTTCGTCCCGATCGTCATCTCGGAGTGTCTTAACGGATATCCGATAGCCATGGTCCCGTCAGCGAATCTGTTAGGCTTCGCAGGCGGCGAGTTGGCCAAGAAGCTGCCCAAGATGCTAGGGGTCTTGCTGGAAACGACCCTGAGCTCCGTGGTGGAGATCGTACTGTTCATGGTCCTGCTGCGTTCTCCGGGGGACCTCATCCCCGTCATCCAAGCAGCCATCCTCGGCTCCATTCTGGCCAACTTGCTCCTCTGCTTGGGCATGTGTTTCTTCGTTGGGGGTGTGAGACGTCACGAACAGTCCTTTCATGAGGCCGTCAGTGAGGTTGGAACAGGACTCTTGCTGGTCGCCGGCTTTGGCCTTTTGATTCCCAGCGCGTTTTACTCGGCCCTGAAGGGGAGCACCTCCCTGAAAACATATCCGTTGGAAAAGTTGCGAACGGATACCCTGACGATCAGCCGTGGGACGGCCGTGATTCTTCTGGTCGCTTTCTTGATGTGCGTTCTGCCCTTCCTCTTCATGCCCCACTGTGGTGCTGACCCGTCCCTCTCTAGCTATCTTTGGTTCAACCTGCGCAGTCATAACACGCTCTTTGATGAAATCTTGGAAAAGGATGAAGCGCTCGACGAGGACCGGGCCGAAGAGGTGACGCGGAACAAGCTCACCCTATCAGAATGTCTCCTGGCCATTGCCATCTCTCTGGCCTGTGTCTGCATGTGCGCCGTGTTCCTCGTCCACGAGATCGAGTTTATTGTGGAGCGCGGCGTCCCGGACCCTTTCATGGGCTTGATTCTGGTGCCGCTGGTCGAAAAGGCCGCGGAGCATCTGACGGCCGTGGACGAGGCGTGGGACAACCAGATCAACTTTGCGCTCTTCCACTGTCTGGGCCCGTCGATCCAGACGGCACTGCTGAACGCACCGCTGGCCGTGATCGTTGGGTGGGGGCTGGGCAAGGAGATGAGCCTGAACTTTGAGATTTTCATGATCGTGCTGGTGGTGCTGGCAATCCTGGTGGTGGGCAACTTCCTGCGGGATGGCAAGTCCAACTACCTCGAGGGCAGTCTCTGCGTGTTGGTCTACGTTATTATCGCCCTGACGACGTGGTTCTATCCGAACGGCTCGGACGCGTCGACCAACGGGCTGGTGGAATAATAGATAAAGCATGCGTATAGAGAGGTAGTACACACTCTACTCCCTCGTTTTGCAGTAATTCATACCCCAACCACTCACTCGGCCATAATATACTACTCTTCTTCGCTCCGTATATTATTCTTCCTTGTGGAGATCCATCCCTGTCTTCCCACAACCAGCCATCGGCCCAGGCCGCCAGTAGCCGTGGCCCGCCGCCGAATCATAATTGCGGCCTGGTCCTCCCCGCAACATTTCTCCTCCCCTCCAATATTACCTTCTTCCCACACAATAAGAATGACCTCGGTGGACAAAATCCTCGCGGCCAAGTACCCGGCCAAGGCTCATGCCCGTCGCGTCGCCGAGTCCCTCAAGGCTCAGAATGGTGCCGCCGGCCTGATCTATCTGGAGGCTCAAAAGACCCGCATGATCGAGGACAGTGACGAGTCCATGCCCTTCCGGTATCCTTTCTCCCCTGTCTAGCGTGCTGTGGCCTATGACTGATTCACACGCAGGCAACGTCGTCCCTTCTTCTACCTCACTGGCTGTCTTCTGCCAGATTCCTACGTGGCATATGATATCCGCAAGGACGAGCTGATCCTCTTCATTCCGCCCGTTGACCCCGAATCCGTCATCTGGTCGGGTCTGCCTCTGTCGCCGGAGGAGGCCGTCAAGCAGTACGACGTCGACCGGGCTCTGTATACCACCGAGGTCAATGCCACGCTGGCGGCGGTCGCGGCAGCCCACGATGGGAAGACCGTGGCTTTTGCCATTGGCGAGCAGGTGTCGGAGAGCACAAGTTTCCAGGGCTTCGCCGAGACGAATACGGGGGCTCTGAAGAAAGCCATTGAAGATACTCGTGTGCTGAAGGATGCTTACGAGATTGCTCTCCTGCGCAAGGCGAACGATATATCGGCCAAGGCCCATATCGCCGCCATCCAGGCGGCCAAGACGGCAACCAACGAGCGTGAGATCGAGGCTGCCTTCATTGGGGCGTCCATTGCCAATGGTTGCCGCGAGATGTCGTATCATCCCATCGTGGCGGGTGGTGAGGGTGGCGCAACCCTCCACTACGTCAAGAACGATGAGAGCCTCGTGGACCCCGTCACCAAGAAACGCAAGAACAATGTTCTCATTGATGCCGGTGGTGAGTATCAGACCTACTGCGCCGATATTACGCGGGTGATCCCCCTGTCGGGAAAGTTCACACCCGAGACGCGCCAGATCTATGAGATTGTCCTCCAGATGCAGGACGAGTGTATTGCCATGTTGAAGGATGGCGTGCTGTGGGATGACGTGCATGCGCACGCGCACCGCGTGGCTATTCGTGGCCTGCTGAAGCTGGGTATTCTCCGCGGCTCAGAGGATGAGCTGTTCGACAAGCGCGTCAGCGTGGCTTTCTTCCCGCACGGTCTCGGTCACTACTTGGGCATGGATACCCACGACACCGGTGGCAATGCCAACTATGAGGACCAGGACAAGATGTTCCGCTACCTCCGTGTGCGTGGCCACCTACCCGCGGGCTCGGTGGTCACCGTGGAGCCAGGGGTAAGTTTATCGCGACGTGTTTCCATGACTCGGGCTAACTCCAGGTGCGCCAGATCTACTTCTGTCGATTCATCATTGAGCCCGTCCTCAAGTCCCCGGAGCTGGGCAAGTACATCGACGCCGCCGTCCTGGAGCGGTACTGGAGTGTGGGAGGCGTTCGGATAGAGGATAACATCCACATCACCAAGGATGGGTATGACAATCTGACGACGGCTCCAAAGGCGACTGCCGAGGTGGAGGGTTTGGCTCAGTAGAATGGTTTTATTGATCTCACAAAACCAATGCAATGTGCACATATGGTGGTCTCATTAGTAGACTGATGGTATCTTCAAACAATGATCATAGTTAAAAGTACAGGACACGGGGCATATTCTCATCAGATGCAGATTGTACAAGGCTCAAATACCACTGCGCAGGCGCTTTCGCGTGCTCCCTTTGGCGCCAGCCTCCACATTACCATGGTTGTTCTTTTCTGTCTTGTCCAAAACTAGGGTCAGGACATCAAAGCCGAACTCGGGAACCTCAATGCACAGCTTTTTGAAAGTATCCTCGACTTCATGCCGCAGCACATGGCTCTGAGAGGCCCAGAATCTCGCAATGGGCTTTCGAAGTGTGACATCGTCCGCCGGGGTAGTGGTGTAGACGTAGCGGGCATACAAGAGCTCGCCGCGGGGGGTTGAATTGACCCGGTGAATTTTGGAATGGGCCAAGTTTTTCAGGGCTGGCAGGTCAAGCTTCTCGGCCAGTGTGTAGACCCACGCATGCCGAAGTAGATGGTTCTCCGACTCGTCTGCGCTGGCATCGGTCCCTGGGCTCCCGGAGCTCGAGACGGAGTAGTCGCGAGTGTATAGGAACTGCAGGAAGCAGGCGAACGCTTCGACATTCTCGTTTGGTAGGTGGATGCGCCGCTATATTCAACCATCACGGCATTAGGACTTTTCGGTCTCGACATAGTGCTGAGGTGGAGACTCACCGGGCCGGAAGCTTCAAAGTTGGAGACAAACTCCGCGAGGAAGGGTGAGTCGTGGAGAAGACTTTGGTGAGCGGTCAGGACTGTCTCATTGTCGCCTTGGCCGACCACGATCTCGACGATGGGGGATGTCAGAAAACTCAGGGAGGTGAGCCCCGACTGGGATGGGAGAGGGTACGCCATTGGGGCGGGAGCAGCTGGATGATTGAGTGGAGAAGGAGAGAGGGAAACACACTCGAGGAATTTGCGGGAGCTTCTTTTCGCAGGAGTCGTGGGGTTTGGGTTGGGTGCATCTGGCAAGCTGTCTTCCTCCGCTCGGGGTGGTTGGGTGCCATTCACTGGCTGCGTGGAAACCTCCGCTTCGACATTGTTGGTCTCTGCTGGGGCTTGGACCTGCGGCGCCTCATCCATGGTGGTGGTGGCTGGCGGGTAACAAGCTGTTGCTGCAAAAGCAACAGCTTGTTGGTTGCAGAAAGCAAGAACCGAAAGTAAGTAAAGAAAGTATGGAAGCTCGGGCCAAACCAACCCCAATATCCAAACGGGCAACAGATCATCATCATCATCATCATCATCATCATTACACTTTCCTTCCCCCTCATACATCGTTACTATGTTCACCTTGCTCTCTCTCTCCCCCCAACACTATGCCTCGGGATCAAGACAATAATCACTCGCCCGCGCCCTTGGTCCAGGGCCAGCTTTCATCAGAAAACGATGGCCCGCGCAGGCGCGTGCCCGTTAAGCTGCGCGAAACCAGCCGCGCCGGCCAGTATCTACTCACTACCGAGGATTCGGAGATGCTCCAGGAAATTCTAGATATCCATCTGGAGAAACTGGGCGCGTCCTCGGAGCGGCGCTTCCTCTTCCGTGACTTGAACTTCACGCGGCAGCTCAGCACCTTCGACCGCCAGAACCCCACGTTTACCTCGTCGCAGTTCCATGGCTTCTTTGTCCTCTTCTGGCTGGGGGTGGTTCTTTTGTTGGTCAAGTTCGCGGCCAATAACTGGCGGGTCTACGGCACGCTCTGGGGCAAGAATGAGATCGTGCGCCTCATGTTCCGTAAAGATGTCCTGGTCCTCGGAGTGACCGATTTGGTGCTGTGCTGGTCCCCAACGATCTGCCTGGTGCTGCAGTGGGCTGTGCTCAAGGGATATCTCCGCTGGAGCCGGAGTGGATGGATTGTTCAGAATGTAGGCCACGACCCTGCAACCGCTTCCAGGGACTCACGCTGATATAATGCTAGATCTGGCAAGCAACATACCTGGGTGTTGCCATCTGGTGGACTTATCATCGCGATTGGCCATGGACGCACACCGTTTTCATCGTTCTACACTCGTTGACAATTTTAATGAAACAGCACAGCTATGCTTCCTATAACGGCTACTTGTCGGAACTATACAAAAAGCGAGAACTGCTCCAAGCAAGACTAAAGCGGCTGGAAGAACAGAGCCCGGAGAGCTCTGCATCACAAGGCCAGGCGTCTGCCATCCAGCAGACCGATCTCCAGAACATTGCGGTTCTCGAACAGGAGGACCATCGCCGCCTGTCCAAACCCCCCAACTTGGATCAAGAGCTCGTGTTGCTGGCTAAGACCATGGAGACAGGGACCCCGCTGAATCCACCCCAGGTGCAATCGTTGACCAGGCTGCTCCGATATGAAATTGATCTACTATCGGACGTGCTCAAGGGCAAATGTTCCTTGACCAAGAACTATTACCCGCGCAACCTGACTCTGAAAGACTTTTGCGACTTCAATACGATGCCTACTTTGGTTTATGAGCTCGAGTATCCGCGCACGGAGCGCATTGACTGGCTCTACGTGGCGGAGAAGACGGCCGCCACGTTTGGCATCATCGTGGTGATGATTGCTGTGTCGCAGTCGTGGATCTACCCCGTGGTCATGTATACCGTGCGCATGAAGGAGTCTGGGATGACAGTCCAGCAGCGGATGCAGGAATTCCCCTGGGTGCTCAGCGATTTGTTGTTCCCGTTCATGATGGAGTATCTCCTGACCTTCTATCTGATCTGGGAGTGTGTCGTAAGTGAGAGAACGGCCCGTTTGCTACCCTGCTAACCGAACCAGCTCAACGCCGTCGCTGAAATCACTCGTTTCGCGGACCGCGGGTTCTACGCGGCCTGGTGGAATTCAACATCGTTTGATCAGTTTGCGCGCGACTGGAACCGCCCGGTGCACAACTTCCTGCTGCGGCATGTCTACCACAGCTCCATCAGCACGTTCCAGCTATCGCGACTGTCCGCCAGTCTAGTGACGTTTCTTCTTTCCGCCTGTGTGCACGAGCTGATCATGCTGTGTCTGTTCCGGCGCCTCCGTGGCTACCTGCTCATCCTCCAGATGTGCCAATTGCCCCTGGTAGCCCTGAGCCGCACCCGGCTCCTACGCGGCCGGCACCTGCTTGGAAATGTGATTTTCTGGTTAGGCATCTTCACGGGGCCGAGTCTACTGTGCAGCCTGTATCTAATTATTTGATAATCATGAATCTGCCCCACCTCTCCATCTACCCCTCGTAGCCTCGTCTCCACGTATCAACCTAACACCTCACTGCCGTTAACTCCAAATCTCTGTTCATCATGGCCTCTAACCCTCCCGGAACATGCTGCACCGTCGGCGTCAAGCACGAAGGTGAAGCCCAGGGCCAGTTCCAACAGGTCGCCAATGGTATGGAGTGAACGTTGTAGTTGAAGTGATACACTGCTCACTCTGTCTCCCCAGTCGAGTCTTACATTGCCCGCCCGGCGGATGGCTCAACCAAGCGCGCCATCCTGCTGCTCACCGATGTGATCGGCCACCGCTTCATCAACGCCCAGCTGATCGCCGACCAGCTGGCCGCGAATGGCTTGTTCGTCGTCATGCCTGATCTGTTCCACGGTGACCCGGTCCCGCTGAACCGCCCGGCCGATTTCGATATTATGGCCTGGCTCAAGGGTCCCCCCGGCCACCTACCGGACCGCGTCGAGCCCGTGGTCAAGGGCGTGCTGAAGGAGATGCGCGACAGCATGGGCTGTGAGCGTGTCGGGGCTATCGGCTACTGCTTTGGAGTTCGTTGATCGTTAACCCTATTACTTAGAGGATTCCTGCTCATCCGCTTTATCTGACCAGGCTAAATACGCGGTTCGATCGCTGCAGCCAGGCCTGTTTGATGTCGCCTATGTTGCTCACCCCAGCTTCGTTGAGGCCGACGAGCTCAAAGCGATCAAGGGTCCTCTGTCCATTGCCGCTGCGGGTAAGTCTCTGTGTCCTTCGGTATGACTGACCAGCTCTAATTGTGTCGACATAGAAACCGACTCGATCTTCCCCGCGCCTAAGCGCCATGAGTCGGAGGAGATCCTGGCTAAGGTGGGCCAGCCCTACCAGATCAATTTGTTTTCTGGCGTGGAGCACGGTTTCGCCGTCCGCGCGGACATTTCCAAGCCGGAAATCAAGTTTGCCAAGGAGACCGCATTTACGCAGGCCGTAACCTGGTTCAACCAGTACCTGTAGGCTGTTTGTCTATTGTGATTATGGACTTGTCCATACATTCAAGGCGCGATAACACAGAAGTCACTCATTTTTGCATAAAAGGGCAACTGGCAGTTCGAGCCACATCTTTTTTCAAGTACAGCGGAGAGAGGATGTACATGCAGTGAAACGTAGAGTAAAACAGACAGAACTTCCCCGCCAACAAGGTCCGTAGGGCCTTACACCACCCTCCGAGGTAGATGCCCGCGAAAGCTCATGGAGCAAAGTGTAAACGGCCTCAAGGTACGACCAGAAGGTCGAAGGCTTGTCTACATTTTCTCGTACGTGGCCATGAGAGAGCCTGTGATACGGAGTCAGCAGATGACCATAAAAATGGGAAACCAAGACACTTACCAATGAACGTAGTAACCAGGCGAGACCGCACTTGGCAGATATCCTCCGGCACGAGCCAGATGGTGGCTCCCATCTTGCGAGCGATACTGATACTCAGTTTGGCGTTGGCATACGCCTCGTCATCGGTCTTGCCGGGGGTCACCAGGTCATAATCCACGTAGCTGCTCTTCATGCCATTGAGCACGTCGAGCAGGAACACCCCCGATCCGATGGACGGGTCCTTGAAGCTGCGGACCGCGGATGTGCGGCCTCCACTGCGGGACATCTCATTTGCCCATTTGATCATCTCTGCATCGGTGATCTCCCGCTTGCCCAGCCGCTGTGCGAGAGCAGAGAGAGTGTTGGTGATGTCGCGGCGCATCAACTGCCACACCAGACCCAGTGTGAGGGTCCGCTGGCCGTCGGTGATATCGGCGCCCTGCACGGCCACCAGAGAGAAACCGTTGTGCTTTCCGAGCTCGATGGCATAGTTGGTGTTCTCTACCGCCTTGAACCGCATCATCTCACCACCTGACGCCGGGGGCTTGTTGACATGCCTCCAGTTGACACTTCCAGGAATGACCTTTTCGTACGCCTGTAGTAGAATGCTGCCATCCCGCAGATCATCAAACAGCGAGTTCACCGCGGGCTGAACATCCAGAGAGTTCAGCCAGAGGGTGAAGACTCGGGCTTCACGCTCGCCCTCGGCATCAAAGTCTTCGATCTCCAGCTTGTCTTCTTCGGTAATCGGTTCCAGCCCGGGGTGGGTGTTGAACAGATTGGCAACAAAGGCAAGGTTCAGCTTCGGATTTCCAGCGACGAGAGAGGTTGGGGTCAGAAATTTGCGGCACTCCAACTTTTCGGCGTTTGTGAGGACCTGTTCGGCACGTTGCAGTAGGTCTCTGGTCTGGAGAGGGCCACGGGAGCAGAGATCGGGAGCCAGCTGGTTCAGCAGAACCGTGTAGTTCTCGCCATCCTTCACATCGGTGGAGAAATTCGTCACTCTAACCATGAAAATTAGCAATCAGCCCCCAGCTACAGCACATCAGGGTTTAAATCCGCCATACCTTCGCTCCCACTTGGCATTCTTGAGGTGGTAGTTGAACCAACGGAGTAGAATTTGCTCCGGAGGCAACCGCAGGAACTGCTCTAGGGTCTCGTCCTCTTCCAGCAACCGGTACAGCTCGGGATGGAGCTTGATATCAATCTTGCCGAGAAGACCACGACGGATAACCTGCCAGATCAGGCCCAGGATGAGATGCTCGCGGACCTCAATGATGTCGCCACTGCCGATATTGACCACGGAGCAACCGATACCCTTGGCCGAGTTGATGACGATGTTGTTGTTCTCGGTCATGTGGAAAGCGTTCAATGCCTTGATCTTCTTCCCTGCCTTGTTCAAGACACGCTCATCAATGGTGTCGGGCACGCTGTCGTTGATCAGCTTCGCCAACACCAATCCATCTTTGCACTTGTCAAACATCTCAAAGGTGTCCGTAGGAAAAGGCAGGAGATTGCCGATATCTGGATCGCCGGCGAGAACGGCATTGATGTGTCTTGTAAACTCGGTTCGCTCATCTTCGTTGATCGTATGCGTGACGTTGGCCGAAGAGCCCTGAACATGGATCCGGCCTCCCACGCTGCCCTTGGAAGCGTGGCCGCGAGCGCCCGCGCCCGCGCCCGCTGCGGCCCCTTGGATCACCGCGGCGGGGCTGGCAGCGGCGGCGGCAGCCGGAGCCGGTGCTGTTCGAAGCCTCGATACCAGCTAATGTAGTCTTAGCGCCTGTATCACCGGCGGGGGTTAAATCACGTACATCAATATAGTCCTCGAGCTCCACCCGTCGGGAGCTATCGAGTTCAACGTTCTTCAACGCCTGGCGCACAACGTCGTACGGCTGCCGTTCTGATTGCTGGGCGGCCTTGATCACAGTGGATTCGTCCAGGTAGCCCCGGTCATCGACATCCAGCCGATTAAAAGCATCCTGCAGAGAGAAGATTTCGCCCTGGTCGAGCTGAGGGAACTTCCTACAATGAAGCCACCACGTCAGCAGCATCCGGAAGGTACGGGGGAGGGACGACAACGGACTTCTGAAGCTTGAGAGCATTCATGGTGGAGGAACAACCTGCCAGTCCGAGAGAGAGACGGACTCAGGAGAACTCTGGAGGTGGGTAGAAGGGTAGAAGTGGTAGGGAAGGGACAATGGGAAGGAAGGGAGGGAAGTTGGTGGGCAGTGCAGGGACGCCTGAGTATACTTTGGTGGGGGAGTGAATAATGGCAGGAGCCTGGCAGTCAGCAGCCGTAATGGTAACGACGGGAGGTATGGCTGTACCGAGTGGGTACTGGAGGAGTACCTGCACATTCCCATGACAACACACGGAAAGTCAAGTATCTGCCAAGTACCCCTCCCGTCCCATTACCACTACCCTCAATACATCATGAATGACCGTTGCTTTTCGTTCCTTCCACTCTCCTCATATTACTACTGCTGCGACTCGACCTGTCAGCGTTTGATCCGTGATTTTACGGGACATGTCTATCCCTACGTCTATAGAGGATAGATAGATAGACATGATACCTCCCTAGAGCCAACCCCGAAGCTCACCGAACCGAAATGATGTCATGCGCCTAGATCGGGTCTACGACCATCAGGAACAAACAAGTCTTCTAACACACCATTCACATTCTCTGTCTCTCACCACCGCCATTGCCCTTCACGCTGCTTCGCTTCACCCTCTGCCGGGCTCGCCCGACCACCATGGCCGGTGTTGAGCAGAAATCCTTCCTGGGCTCCCTCTCGCCGTGGGGGACGCCACGTGCGTCGACGCCGCAGTCGGGCCACCAGCACGGGCAAGAAGTCCTCCAACGTTCCCAGGGCGAGGACCACACGGTGACACACCGGCACAAACTGAGTGCGCGTCTCTACCCTCGGGATTGCCCCGCACTGAAGGTGCGATGGTTTTACGCGGTGGACTCCCCCAAGCGCAAACCCGCTCTGCTGGGGGAAAAGAAGCCCGACCAGAAAGCCTTACCCCTGCCGAAGAAATTCATTCCTTTCTCGATGAAAGACTCGCAGTCGATCGAGGCAACCTTTCAGCGACTCGCCGACATTGAGGATACCCGCGAGGGAAGCGACACTCCCGGCTCGAATGAACCCGAGGTGTCGACAAAAGTGCCCGTGAACGAGGACTTCCTCTTCGATGTGGACGTGGAACGACGGGAGCTGGCTCCCGCATACTGGGTTGGCCCCGTCTACGAGGTCCGTCGAGGCACATGGTTCTTCCAGGATGGGTCCACGCTGAAGCCATGCGAAGAAAACCTCGCCACGCAGCTCGAAGAAGGTTATCTCAAGGTGCGACCATGGAGACCAGACACGACGCAGCCAAGTCTGGAAAGGCCTGCGCCCAAGTCAAACGAGCATGATCGCTCCGGTGGCACGGTTGATCATGGCACTGCCCAGCCTACCTCTACAGGAGCTGCTGCCCCCTCCCAAGGTACCGCTGGGACGGGGCCCTCTGTCCCTCCCATAGAGCGTCAACAGTATCGACTGTTCGGCGCATATATGAACAGGATCGTTGCCTATCAAGACTCGTCGACCGCCTGGGTGATCAATGATGATTTCATGTCGCGTGTTAGCACAACCGTATATCAAAAGTTAGGCGGGATCCCGGGTACCAAAGTCATCCGCGGTGATCAAGAGCTCAAACGATCCAAAGAGCCGGTTGAATCGAAAAATCCGGAATCAAAGAATATAGAAAAGGCATCGGCTCCCTCCGCCCCGGAGCCTTCTTCAGCCCAGTCTCAGCAATTAGAAGCACCGACCTCTTTGAAAGCGCCCCGGACAGAAAAGTCCGAAGGTGATGAAAACAATATCCAAAATCCAAGATCTACATTGGAGCGACAAATGTCGTCTCTAGCTGGTGAACCGCAGAACCCGGCCGAGTTAGAAGAACAGGCCCGAATGCAAGAAGAGCAGGAAATGGAAGACTCGAGAGAAGTCGACGGCGAAGACCGAGAACGAGAAGTCGACCATCTCATTCTGGTCACTCATGGCATCGGTCAACGGCTCGGTTTACGATTGGAGAGCATTAACTTCATCCACGACGTGAACGTCCTTCGCAAAACCCTGAAAGGGGTTTATAAAGCCTCGCCTGATCTGCAGGCACTGAATGCCGCATTCCCGGACAGCAATCGGAACTGTCGAGTTCAAGTACTTCCTGTGTGAGTAGCAAAGTATCTGACCCTCCCCAGCCTGCCATGCTGACATTCATTCAGATGCTGGCGACACCTCCTGGATTTTCCTTATCGAGGGGTTCGACAGAATCGCAAGGAACTGGATCTGGCCGATGCAGACGCTCTAGAAGACGACACGTATCCAGGCCTGAGTGATATCACACTAGAAAGCGTCCCCGCGGTGCGAAACCTGATCTCCGACCTGGCCATGGATGTGCTGCTTTATCAAAGTAGATACTGCGAGCATATCTCCAACATTGTGAAGCAGGAGTGTAACCGGATTTTGGACCTTTACAGACAGCGCAACCCATCTTTCAAGGGTTCGGTCAGCTTGTGCGGTCATTCCCTGGGGAGTGCCATCTTGTTTGATATCCTGTGCCATCAGCCAGACCACCTGCATCCAAGCCATGAAAAGGGGAATGCTTCGATCCATTCCGACGGAGGGAGTCCCGCCTTGGACTTTGAATGTGAAGAATTTTTCTGTCTGGGCTCCCCCATTGCCCTGTTCCAGATGCTGAAGGGGAAAACGATTGCCGGGTACGCCCCACCGGGGAAGAGAAGCCGCAACAGTACGTTGGACGTTGATATCAATCCTGAGAGTTTGGGGGCTGCTTCCAAACGGGACTCGCATATTAGTTCCGCAGCCCGGATGGGGGACAACTCTGCCATCTTCTCCTCGCCGCGGTGTCGCGATCTCTACAACATCTTCCATCCATCAGATCCAGTGAGCTACCGTCTCGAGCCACTCATCTCTCCTGCCATGGCCGCGCTCAAGCCGCAGCCCTTACCCTCGGTCAAGAAGAGTCTCTGGACCGCCTCGGGCCAAAGCCTTTCCGTGCTCGGTTCTCGCATGGGCCAGAGTATGGGATCTCTATGGACCAACTTCACCACTGGAGTGGCCAGCAGTTTGTTGAATCGCAGCCTCGGACTGCCTGCCGACGAGGCCCATGCCGGGAAGTTGGCTGGCCATCCCGCGGGCCATAAGCGGACTCAGTCGGGCTCCCCCGGGAAGGAGAATCCGAAGATCATTTCCAGACCCTGATCGAATCCGACCTGGAGACGCTGTACGATGGCTTCCAAAAGACCCGACACAACCAGAAGAAGACCGACCCGGGGGATGCCGACACCGACCTGGAGGCCGAAGATCAAGAGCGCAAGCTGCGACTGGAAGATGCCAAAGTGCGTGCCTTGAACGCCAATGGCCGGGTCGACTACAGTGTGCAAGAGTACGTCTTCATATCCATTCCATGACGGTCCTGGCTAACCAACCAACTCTTTCCGCAGGGGCGCCTTCGACATCTCGTTGATTGCTAGCATTGCCAGCCACCTCACTTACTGGGGCGATGAGGATGTCAACCACTTCATGCTGTCGCAGATGCTGTCACGGAGAAGTCGACATCGGCGTCCAGTCCCGTAGCTTGTTCAAGAGTACCGTAGTAGTGGATCCGCCCAAGCGGGTTAGACTCGGTTGTGTTCGCACCCAACCCGGTTTTCTTTTTTCCTCTCTTTCTCCCTTTGTCGTCTCCTCCCACCACTCCCTCCCTCACTCACCATGAGCCCCGAACTCCAGCAGGTCCTCAAAGTCTGGGATCGGACACGCACCAACAGCCCCATCTACGAGTTCCTTCTCGACGCCATTGATGTGTATGACGCCGAGAAGGGCGTTGTCCGCGCCCGTCTCCAGGTCGGACCGCGCCACCTGAACTCCAAGGGCACGTTGCACGGAGCCTTCTCAGCAACCGTGACGGACTGGGCCGGGGGTCTCTCCATCGCGTCGTGTGGGTTGGATGCCACGGGGGTCAGTACCGACATCCACGTCAACTACCTGTCCACGGCGACGGCGGGCGACTGGCTAGAGATCGAGGGCCGGGCAAACAAAGTGGGCAAATCGCTGGCCTTCACGACCGTGTCCATCTCCAAGAAGACCGAGTCTGGGCTGTCACTGGTGGCGCAGGGATCGCACACCAAGTATGTGAGAGCGCGATCCTAGAATCATCAAATAGATAGATCCCTGATAAATACCGCCATCTTCTTTACCTCCAGCATGACACGCATGTGCTTTGAATGCTGGAGTCACTCGGATGGCGGAGAGCGACCATCACTCCATTCGGTGTGCTTTAGATGCGTGGTGCTCCTGGATGGGCGCGGCGCAATTCAGAATGGGAACATTTTAAGTAATCATCCTTCCCCTATCATAAATATCATTCTTCCTCTCCTTCTTTCTTCCACTATTCCTTCCAACCCCCAACCTCAACACGCTCTACGGTCGCTTCTGCCACCCTGGTGCCGAATGGAGCCTCATACCCCCTGTATCCTTCTGCTTTGATTCCCTTCCCCGTTGCTTGCCTCCCCATAACCGCCCTGCCCCACCCGGCCTGTCAAGGGGTCGTGATGGATCCGTCCGATAATAATAATAATAATGCCACCAAACCCGCGCCATCCCTGGATCCGGAGTCACCGGTCAAGAGCGCGCCCAGCAATGGCGACACTCGGTCTCAACCCTCCATTGCCGGCGTTGCAGTACCCCAGGAACTTATCGATTACTCTCTCAACTTCCTCTCCACGTCCAGCAACGAGCGCCTCCTCGGCGTATTCGCTGCTCTGGCCCTGGCCACCTACATCATACTCGGTAGAATTGGGCTGCTCCTGATCGGAGTCGCCGTGGGGGTCATCCTGCATGCCTCCTGGGAGGGACCCGACCTGGATGCGAAGGGCGAAGGGTCGCGCGCACGGAAATCCAGCAAGCGCAAAGAGCTTGCGCTGGAATTGTCCAACAGGTTGCTCGACTGGCAGGCTCGGAACATCCCTGCAGAGGCTGAAAATGAAAAGGCCGCGCCATTGAATGCGCTGGAGGATTTGTCGAGCCTAGACTTGGAATACTCGACCTTCCAGCCCGCGACGGGTGCGGCGTTGAGGGCGCTCACCGATGCAGTCATCAAAGACTATGTGAAGTAAGGCCCTTTCTCAGCAGCTCGACGAATGTAAACTCAGATCAACTCTAGATACTGGTACGAGCCGATTCTACCCTCTGAATCGACCTTCCCACTATCCTGCCGACGCATCTTGACTCATTTCATCACTTCCATATCCTCTCACGTCTCGCGCAAGCGAACCGAGGACACCTTTCTTCAATTCCTGACCAACTCCTCGTCCATCATCATCGTGTTCCTGAATGAACTCGCTGCGGCGTTTGCGGCTGTCCCTTCTGCGTCTATGGAAGCCGAGAAGGTTGTGGAGCACTACCTTATGCAATCCCCAGATAGCAGTTTGGCAAATATTCTGTCCGGGCAACAGCAGCGCAAGAAGCTGAACATGATAGCGGATGATATCCTGTCCAGCTACCTCGAGTCCAAATCGTACAGTTGCTCCTCGGTCCGAGACTTTTGTCGTGAGGTGTTTGCAGGTCTTGTCCTCGAGTCCACCGTCATCAGCATGGCTCGCCCCGAATTCATCAATGGGTGGATCATCTATCTTCTTGAAGACGGAGAGTCTGAAATCATGCATGCGATCGATGCTGGTGTCGAAGGTGCACGGAATCAGGGTGTCAGTGCGCCTCTGAGCAATCCAACTTTGGACTCGACGCCCAAATCGACCGAAAACCGGCGGAGCCAGGTGAATAAAGACACGGAAGAAGCGATGTTTGAGGCAAAGCGGTTGAGCGCACTAATGGCATCTCAAGATACGCACATCGTGGACCCTGCTGAACGGCCGCCTGAAGTCAATCAGCCCCTCGAGATCTCTACTCTCGGTGCCGACAACCCGCAGGAGTCGGTTGCAGGCACAGTGAAGAGTGACGGAGGCGTCAACGCCAGTCAACCAACTTCTCCTTCCTTGCCACATTTGACCCTGCACGGCGCACTTGTATTGGTGGATTATAGTTCTACAGCCAATGACAAAGGAACCATCAAATCGCGACCGTCGGGAGATTATATGCTACAAGTTGAACCCGCATCCAGCGGATCCACTGGATGGATGGTATTCCGAAAATACTCGGATTTTCAGTCTCTTCATGAAATGCTCGAGACCGTTTCACGGCTGAACCGGATTCAAGCCTTTTCCGAGCGGTACCCTACCCTGCCCCACTGGAAAGGTAAAACGAGGCAAGGTCTGGCTCGGGAGTTGGAGAAGTATCTGCAGGATGCCTTGAAGCACGAATCCCTTGCCGAAACCGACCGCATACGACGATTCCTGGAGAGAGATGGTGGCTCCGGCAGCGAAGCGGCCAGTGCTGCCAAGCCCGGGTTTTCTTTCCCCAACCAAACCGCCTTTGAGAACATGGGCAAGGGCGTCCTGGGCGCGCTCACCAATGCTCCCAAGGGCGTGGCCGGGGGTGGCAAAGCCGTCTTCGATGGAGTGACCGGGGTATTCGGGGGTGTCGCTGGAAACAGTCGAAAGCCTGCTAGTACTACCGCGCCATCATCATCCCATCTACCGAGTCTGTCGAAAACTGATAGTGAGCCCCTATCCGTCACTGGAAGCACCAGCGGCCCAAGCCGTGCGGCTTCATATGACGCAGACCGCCAGTCTAGTGACCGCCCCATGTCTATGCTATCCAGTGAACCGGGAGGGTCTCCTGCGCTGGTGCCTTCTCCGAGTGATTCTTCCTTTGAATTTACCAAGGCTGAATCTTCGAGGGATCTATCGGCCGGTGAAATCACCGATGATGCAAAACAGACAATGAATCAAAGCGATGTTCAGGCCTCTGCGTCGACGCTCGCACATTCAGATGGCCGCATCTCGCTGGATTCTACTAGCCGTCCCTCGGGACTAGATCCGAAAGAGAGTACCGAAATCTCTTCATCCGTGAGCGGGCCAGCTCCTGAGCACGGTGAGCCTGCTGCTACTGCCACTCAAGGAACCCGCAAGCAGGGTAGCCCTATCACAGCCGACGAGACTCAGATCGCAGTAGAGCTGATCTTTGCTGTTATCAACGAGCTCTACACCCTGTCCTCTGCATGGAACATCCGCCGGACGCTGCTGAACGCGGCCAAGTCATATATTTTGCGCCCTGGAAGCCCGACCTTGGAGACGATCCGCACTCTGCTGCAGGACTCGATGATCGAGGCCCATACGTCGGACGAGGCGCTGGGGGAGTATCTCACCAAGCTTCGGGAGAATGCGCTCCCCACAGAGGAAGAACTAGGCGCCTGGCCTCCGCCACCCAGCGAAGAGGAGAAAGCCGAGCTACGGGAGAAGGCGCGGAAGCTCTTCGTGCAGAGGGGGATCCCTCAGGCGCTGACGAGTGTTATGGGGGCGGCTGCCAGTCGGGAGGCGCTGGAGAAGATCTTTGACAGTCTCCAGGTGGACACGGTGGCCCGGGGCTTTGTGTTCTCGATCATGCTGCAGGGTTTGCGGGTGCTCGCCCTCTGAAAACGACGCCGGTGTCTCTTCTGTCTGTATATAGGATTAGTAATATAGATAATACTTATCACCACGTGATCTATATGTCGCGCGTCTCTCGATCTCGCCGTCTGTCTTTCTCTTCCCACAATTCATCCGCCACCATGACATCCCGAAAACGCTCATCGGGAGATGATCTTGTCGAGGACAACTCTCACAAAAAGGCCAAAGTCAGCCATCGTGATACGAGCAAGGTGGACTCCAATGGAGATCGATACTGGGAGATCTCGAAGATGCGCCGTGTCACCGTCTCTTCGTTCCGAGGAAAGACTCTGGTGAACGTTCGAGAATACTACGAGAAGGACGGCCAAGAGCTGCCAGGGAAGAAGGTGGGCGGTCCACGCTCTTCCCGTTGATCTGACTGACTGGAGATGGATTCGTTTTTGCAGGGCATTTCCATGCCAGTGGACCAGTTCGCGGCACTCGTGACGTTGCTTCCGGAGATTGAGCAGTCTCTCACACAGCAGGGTCAGTCATTGCCGCGCCCGAATTACTCTGGTGACGGTGACGGGAACCGGGGCGATTCGGAGGATATGGAACAGGACAATTTGAAGCCTGACAAGCAGAACATTGAGGCCACGAGCGATGAGGACAGTGAGGCCTGATTTCCTAACTACGCTGCTTATGAGGAACTCGGGCCAATATCCACGGTTAACAGTTATTCCTGTCACGATCTAATGAATTCTCCATCGGTTTCGAGATGTGCTTTTCTCTCTAGTTTAATCGAGTCAACCCCAGACGGCTCAGCGGTATGGTATGTTGGACTTGTCTATAGTACAGTAATGTCATTACATCACAACCACGAAGGTGGATTCGTAACGACCCCTATATGCAGAGATACCTATCGATATACTACTGGGCACGTACGCCTAGATGACTTGATCTACGACAGCCGGAGACTGAAGAATCCCGGCCAACTTCAAGATGTTCATCAGTCGTAATTGAATTGTTTAGCAGCCTTAGTGCAAATCGCCCATGATGTCCTCGTCCATGTCCAACCCAACCTGCTCGCTCGTGTTCTCGCCGGACCCGGCCCACAACTGACTCTTCTGCACATTGTCGATATATTCATTACTCAAACCCAGCTGGTGGCTGCTCTGTTCGAGGTTGCTCATCAACGTCTTCAATGATCGACCCTCGTTCCTTAGTTGGATTTGCACCTCCATCTCATGCGACAGTCGGGGCAAATGTGACACGTCTGACAGACGGAGCATCGTGGAGCTAGCCCGTTTCTGGGAATGGAGTAGTCGCGCGGCCAAATCACCCGACATAACCAAAGACGCAATGATTGACTCGGCGTCCTCTTCGGTGGTAGGCCACGGGAGTGCTTGCCCCGCAAGATCGGCCATGGTCAAGGCAGCAAAGGTCTTGCCCAGTCTGATCACTGTGTGCTTATAAAAGGCATTCGTCACCTGCGCGACGAGGCCCGTGTTGTTGTCCTGCCGGGGGAAATCAGTGAGATTGAAACATCCAAGATCATGATAGGTCGACCATAACTTACCATGCTCCAAACATGCTCAGCAGCATTCACCTCAGCCTTCAATCTTCCGACATCATCACGCTCAAAAGTCTGGGCAAGTGTGATGTACGGCCGAGTCAGGGACTGATACATCTTCGCCGCATGTGGACTGGTCAAACTCGGAGGGGGGCATAGCTGGACCATCTATTATCAGCAACTCGCAGCTCACATGAGGAATCCGATCTCGTCACCTACCTTTCCCTTCTCAAGCAAACCCACTAGAATCCATTTCTTGTAAGCCTCCACCATGATCATGCTCAAGGAGCCGGCAATAGGCATTGAGATGACAATCCCGAGAAAGTGCAATGCTTTGCGCCATTGTTTCAGGGCCATGTATATCATGCCTCCATAAAGGAAGTATTGCAGGTAATCCTTGGATGACAGCTTGGATGAGAAACCCGAGGCGTCACCCATAAAAGCGAGGCTGGAGTCGTACTCTGAACAGAGCAGAGGCTGGGTAGCTTTGGAATCTGTTCGACCGACTAAGGCAGGAAAATAACAAATGTGTTTATCCAAGACTGGAAGGGCGCAAGAGTACGTCCGGGCGCGCAGGCAGAGTCGAACGAGGAGCAAATGGGTCGAGGTGAAGACAGCACAGGAAGGATCGAGGCGAAGCATAGCATCCCTGACCACGCGTGCACCTAACAGGGGCTATAGATGGTCAGAAACGAGTCGAGGGGATCTAAATGCGAGATATGCTTGCCTTTGAAGCTGCCTGTGCAGCTCTTCCCACGAGTTCGACAAGCTGACGCCATTCCTGGCCCACATATCTGACCTGGACACTATCGAAGGTTTTGAGAAACTGTACGGCCCTTGTCCATAGCTTCCCTGTAGGCCACACGTCCCCCGGGAGGTTTTCGCTCGTCCTTTCCTTGGCCTTCTGGATCTGTAACCGCAGGATTAACAAAAAGGCGACTGAATCGGCGGATGGATCGAAATTCTACTCAAGGGGTTAGCTTCCGAGCGACAGATTGGCTAGACCCGAACGTGCCACGTACGTCGAGGAGAGAATCGTCGCGGGCGAAGCTGCTGAGAGCGTCGGTGGAGAGCAAATGGCGAAAGTAGGCCACGAGGTCGCGTATGCGGTCGTCATAGAGCTCATCGGATAGGTCTGTGGGGTTGTGTAGGCGTGCAGAGGCCGAGGTGAGCTCTGCGAGGGAGACGGTCATGTTGGCCCAGGGGAGTGTGGATGGGAAAGTGTAGACGGGAACGAGTGAAGGGAAGAAGCAGGATGACAAAAGGAAGGAAGGTTGGATGACCCAGGACCACTCAACTCAGGTGATCTTTGCCCTTCTGCGTCTTCCTTCCCCCAATACGATTCTGGTACTACAAGGCATTGATTGATTGCTCCATAGGGATCACTATTCCTTCGATTGTATCTCCCGAGACTGACTCACCCCTCCCCACTTCAACTTCTTCTTTTCGCTGGATTGCCCCGAACATTCTCCCTCACCCTCTCCCTCAACCCACGAAACCCCCACACCATGTCGTTGACCGACTCGGCTGCCGCAGATGTGGCTGGGAGCGCGTCCCTCGCCTCTCGTCGCTTGGCTACACTGTCAAATCCCGCCCGGAATGAAGCTCTCACGGCACTCCACCACGCCCTCGACCAGAACCGGGATACTATCCTCGCCGCCAATGCCAGGGATGTCGAGGCTGCGACGCGCGCAGCCGAAAGTGGCAATCTAAACCACAGTGTGCTCAAACGACTTGACCTTTCACGGCCGGGCAAGTACGATGACATGTTGGAGGGAATCTTGAGCGTGCGGGACTTGGCCGACCCAGGTGAGTGCGGCAATGCGTCTTCAATTGGATTCTCAATTGGATTTCACTAACACGGAACCCAAAAAAGTGGGCAAGGTAACCCTGCGGACCCTTCTGGACGATGGCCTTACCTTGGAAAGAGTCAGCTGTCCCATTGGTGTCCTGTTAATCATCTTCGAGGCTCGCCCGGAGGTCATCGCGAACATAGCTGCGCTAGCCATCAAGTCGGGTAATGCCGCTATCCTCAAAGGTATGTGCTTCCCTTATAACTACATGGAAGGTCTCATCAAGCTGACATGTGTGTAGGTGGCAAGGAATCCATGGAATCATTCGTGGCCATTGCGAACGTCGTCTCCGAAGCCCTCGCAGGCTCTCAGGTGCCAGAAGGATCTATCCAGCTGGTGAAGACCCGCGACGTCGTGTCATCCCTATTGGCCCAGGACTCGCTGATTGACCTTGTTATCCCGCGTGGCTCAAATGATCTGGTTCGCTTCGTCAAGGACAACACCAAGATCCCGGTGCTGGGGCATGCCGACGGTCTCTGTTCTGCCTACGTCCATTCGGATGCAAGTGTTGATACCGCTGTCAAAGTGATCGTGGACTCGAAGACCGACTACCCGGCAGCTTGCAATTCGCTGGAGTCTCTACTGGTCCACCAGGATGTTCTCGAATCGGTCTTTCCCGCTATTGCCAAGGCGCTGCTGGATAAAGGAGTCTCACTTCGGTGTGATGAAGCCTCACGAAGTGCCTTGACGAAAACGCTACCCAAAGACCAGGCAGGACACGTACAGGCGGCCGTCGACTCTGACTACGACACCGAGTTCCTAGACCTTATCTTGGCCGTGAAAACGGTTCCCTCAACCAATCCGTCGAGCTCTGCTGTGGAGGCGGCCGTTGCACATATCAACGCGCATTCGTCCAAGCACACCGATATCATCCTGACCGAGTCCAAAGAAGCCGCTGACTTGTTCATGAGCGGCATTGACAGCGCCGGAGTCTTCTGGAATGCATCGACGAGGTTCGCGGATGGGATGCGTTTTGGGTTCGGCACCGAGGTCGGCATCAGTACCAATAAGATTCATTCTCGCGGGCCGGTCGGGCTGGAGGGTCTGACCATTTACAAGTATTTGATCCGAGGCAACGGGCATCGGGCGGGAGACTACCACGATGGGGACGGCGGGCGCAAATATATCCATACGAGGCTGCCCATCAGCCAGTGATAGGAGGCATAGAATAAAAAATAGAACAAAATTTGAACATTCCGCAATCATAAAAGATATCAGGATCAAGCCTGGTGTATTTTTCTTCTGGTCTCCCTCTTCATCCGTAATCCGATCTCTCGGCCTCACCAGACGTTCTGCCACTTTAGGTACAAAAAACGTAGTTTTCTCGGGAATTCGAGAAAGGAGTCCCAGTAACGAGTGCGTCGGGGTGGCCATGTACCTATCACGAGAGAGACACTTCCACACGGCCAGCCTGAGGCCCACACCACCGCTCTCATCAGGTCCTTTAGACCTTGAAGCCACGAGACCTTCTGCGGCCACGAGCCCGCTCGAACTTCCGACCCTTGCTGGCCACGTACGGCTTCTGTTCGACTGTTAGCATGCCAAGTCCCACATTATTCCCCACAAGAATATCCCATCATCAGGGGTCCAAAGAAAACGTACCTTGTCAGTGTGAGGACCGAAACCGAAGTGCTTCACAGCCTCGCGGGCGTTCTTGGGACCACGGAGGAGGAGCGTGTTGGCTCCGGTGGGAGCGCGCAGAGCAAGCTGGTCCAGGGTCAGGGTCTCACCACCGGCCTTCTCGATACGAGCGCGAGCAGTGGCGGTGAAGCGGAGAGCAGCGACAGACAGCTTGGGAATGGTCAGAAGACGATTGTCGTCCGTGACGGTACCGATGACCACGACGGTCTTGCCCTTCTGCGACTCGTTGATGTTCGAGGCGATCCGCGAGAGAGAAACCGGGGGACGATTGATCCGCGACATAAAGAGGCGACGCAGAACGGCCTTGTTGAAGTTGGACTCGGTCCGACCTATTTAAGAGTCCACAATCAGCGGACGGCTCTTCACCGTAGAAAAGTTTGCCGGTGTCTGCCGTGCAACAGACGAGGATTGAAGGAGAGAATCATACGGGCAAGGAAGCGGTAAAGCTTCACCAGGACCTGGAGATAGACGTTTTCGCTCTTAGGCGCCTTGCGGTGGCTGTTGCGCACATGGTGACGGTCCAAGTCGATACCTGTGGTGGCACACACACGATCAGTCAGTCAGTCAAAAAGCCCAATAAGAGGGAATTGTTGTCGAAGAAGAAGCAAAGAGCAGTTGAGGTAGACACATACCCATGGCTGCTGGTATTGATTGAACTGGGAGGTTGGCTTGTCGGTCGGGGCACCCGGGATGGAAGTGAAGGAGTTTTTGGGACGGGCGACATTTCTGTGTGCGGGTTGAGCCCTACGCTAGTCCCGATCAGGGACTCGGATCAGGTGATTTATATGCCTGAGGCAACCATTTGATTTACCTATGCCTGAGGCGGACGCAGGAATTTCTTTTCTCTGGATTACGTGACTCGGACCCCCGGAATGAACCAAAAAGCTTGCGGTCTAGGTATATGCTCCCTCTTCTCGATCCCCCAGGCTCACGAGGAAATCTCGTGTCAGCTCAAAGCTGAGCCAACTGCTGGCCATACTGGGGGCCACTTTTAGCAGGTTGGGCCCGATCCCCTTGAAGAGGCCGCGCATCCCTTCCTCCGTCACAATCACTCGAACCGCGTCCCAGATGGATTTGTATTTGTAGCCCATTCCGGACATGGTGTTGATCTGGAACCGCCGGCGCAACACGTCACTACACTCCTGTTAGTGGTGCTCTCTGGTTTCCTCCCTGGGGGGGGGAAACAGGTGCAACATACAATGGATAGGTGCAAGTTTGTGCCACGGCCCCCGAGATGGCCCCGGCCAGGAGCTTTCGATAAGGGCTGGGGTTCTTGTCCCCTTCGGGCGTCAGATATCGACGGACCGATTCGTAGGTCATAAAATTCAGCCCGACCTGTAACGCGGGGGGTTAGTCGCCATGGGGACAACTCGGGCACGGGACTCACGTAAGGAGCAACGCCGGCGACGGTAGGGACGATGCCTCGATAGAGAGCAATCATACCGCCCTCATTTTTGTATATCAAGACCATAGTGGTGAGCAGTCCCGGCAATTTATCCTGCTCGTGCTTTCCAAGCTCCGCAAACGAAGCCGATTGGATAGAGAGCCGGGTTCGAACGATATCCAGGGGATAGGTGACCGTCACGGAAGTGATACCGGCGAGACCTCCGCACACGAGACGGCGGAGTGGGGTGATGTCGCCGTCCGGGGTCGTTTCTGCGAACTTGAGGAAACCATTAGACCTATCTCTGGCAACATCAGAAGCAGATTCCGCCCACCTTCTTGTAGAAATTGTAGCTTCCAAACTGTACTGCGGAATAGGGAATAATGCGAATACAATTCGTCCCATTCCCTCGCATGAAGCCCCGCCAGCCTTCCTCTCGTTTCATTTTCCCGAGGGCTTTCCAGATCGACAGCTTATATTCTTCCCTGCCAACGCTTTGGATTTGAAGGAGGATCTTTAGTCGTTCGAGAGGTGACACGAGCGTCCGGGAAACTGCGCCCGCAACACCGCCGGCAAGGAATGCAGCCGTGACGGGCTCTGCTATTCTTGTTCTGGCTATATCGTAGACAGAAGGGGTCCGGTCATTCATGGTCTCCTAATGCGCAGTCAGCACTCTCCTCCTATGAAACGGATCGGGGTCCAACCCACCTTGGCCGTGGGAGATGGTGATAATTGGGGCAGGCTCTGTAATTTCGATTTTGCGGGACTTCCCAACTCCTCTTTCTGAGTAGCATCGTGGCGATTTAAGCTCATTTTGGCTGGATCACCATCGGTGTTGGGAGACCCAGGTTCTAAAGAAGCACCCCCAACCACGTGGAGCCTTGGTATGGGCCCCTCTTCCGATGGGCTTGTGGTGGTTCCCGGTGCGTGGTGGACGGCTGAGGATCGGATGGGCAGCGCTTAGGCAAGGTGATGAACTGACGTAACAAAGAGCGCACGGGGGATCTGTGTTGCGAGCAATGAGCTGGCCATGAAGGTAGGATATCGTGAGACGCCTGGTGATCTACAGGAGCATCATTGGGACGGATGGAGCTGCCGGGGTTGGGTGGATGGGCATGAAATCGACGTCCAACGGGACCCGGGGAGGGCTGGGTGAGAGAGTGTTTGGCGGGGACTCCGCGCCGATGAGACCAATGCCCGGGAGGAGTTGCAGCAGATGAAGCGGAATGACCTACCGAAGAAGCGACCGAGAGGACGTGCCAGGAGCGAGAGGCGAAAGCGATGAGCAGATAGAGAGGGAGAGAGGGAGAGAGAGTGTCCCGACGGACTGCCGAGATTGACGATCTCGCCCGACCGGGTTAAGTATGGAGCTCGTTGCAGGCCTCAGTCCTATATAATGGAAGCAAGAATGGCCTTTATGTTGAATTGTTGTCCACCAACGACGATAACAATGATCATTACTACCATGAGTGTGTAATTGTTGTTGTTGGTGACTACACTACATACATGGTAGACCATTCTGCGCGATCGGCCTCTCTGCCCGGCCGGAGTCGCGATCCTTTGTTCTCGTCGCTCAAACCTCCTCCCTTCTATTTCCTCATCATACCCATCCCCCTCGCCTCCCTCAACCTTCCGTCGATCCAAACGCCATCATGTCTCGTTCGGGAACCACTCTCTATGTCAGCGGCTTTGGCCATGGAACCCGCGCCCGCGATCTTGCCTACGAGTTCGAACGGTATGTGCCGCCGCCTTCGTGTCCTTGGAGCCGCGACCTTCGATTTCCATCTGCCCCGCCGCCCCCCTAATCAAGCTCAGCCGCTTGCCATCGATCCCATGAAATGGTGGAGCCCGGGTTAGTTTGGGTGGAAAGCTTTTGAAACGTGTGGCCCTGTTTCTTGGGGCCCAGCGTCGATATATCTTGCTCTTGGTCATTCATGGCCGCGTTACCTCGTTCATGATGATGGTTGCAAGAAATGCTGACAGTTGAACTAGCTACGGACGTCTCGTTCGTTGTGATATTCCGGCGCCCCGTACCCCGTCGAGCCGCCTGTAAGTTGGGCATTAATGTTGGGATCCCTTGGTTCTGGTCTGACGGCAGGATTTAGGTTCGCTTTCGTTGAGTACGAGAGTCGCCGTGATGCCGATGATGCCTATCACGAGATGCACAACAAGCGTATTGGGCGGGATGATCTTCTTAAGATCGAGGTAGGCGATTCTTGCTCCCTTGGGTGGTTCATCTGGGATCTAACCGGTCGCTAGTGGGCCCGTACGCCGCCTTCTGCGTCCTGGAGATTCGACTCCGGCCGAGACCGCCGCCGGGACCGTACGCCCCCTCGCCGTGGCCGCTCTCCATCGCCTCGCCGCAGCCGTGGTGATTATTCTCCTCGTCGGGATGACCGGTACGAGCGAGACCATGATCGCCATGACCGGGACTCTGATCGCCGGGACCGTGACTACGATCGTCGGGATCGTGACTCTGATCGTCGAGACCGTGACCGTGAGCGCTCCCGGGACCGCTCGCGCAGCCCCGAGGACAAGGATCGTGATGCTAAGGACGACCGGGACCGACGCGAGGAGGATCGAGAGCGGCGCGAGGAAGAGCGTGAAAATGGTCCGAACGGCGAAGAGAGGAAAGGTATATCCATTGAAAATACCCATTCGACGGGCTGATGGCTGACGTTGCGCAGTACCCCTGGACCCTATGCCTACCGCTCATGATGAGCTTGATACTGCTGAGTAGGTCGACTCAGTGCCTCGCCGTTTCGACGTCTCCAGCGATTGAGCGGCTCCTGTCTCTCCCCACAGCCGTTCAGGCCTGTCCGTGATGGCACTTGGGCTCCCCCTCCCCCCAGGAGGAAAGGAAAGGCAAGAAAGGTTACTACTCCCCAAGGCCATGGCCCCCCTGCGTCGTGTGGCATCTCCCCCTTGTTCTCGAGTCTTTGTGTTGTTGCAGTTTCGCAATTCCGTCGGTAGCTGGGAGTCCAGTGAATGGTCGACCCATGTTTGATTTTGTGTATGTGTGTGTGTGTGCGTGTGTGTTTTTTCCTGGTGTTGGTATTTCATCTTGGTCAGCAGCTCGGATACCACCGAAACGACCGTCGAGCGATTACCTGAAGCCCTCGCCCATCGATCGTCGTTCATGAATACCGTCCGCCATCCGTCTTGCTCGCAAATTTAATATGAACGCTCTTTCCCCCCCTCCGTCTCCATTACCCGCGATGTGCGACCGCCCAGACCTCCGCAGACCCTTCGAGAACCACCGTAGCGCTCGCCGGGAGTAGACGTATGATTTGGAGGGCCATTTGCTGTAGCGAGTTCAATCAAGCCTTAACTAGCCCGTCCGTAATGAGAATGTTTGAACTGGTAACTAACTCGGATGACGTATTTGGCTCCCCGGACCTTTCCCCTCTTCAACCTCCATCATCCTCATCACCACCGTACTCTATATCATGGATCAGCCTAAGGGAATCAGCATCGCCATTGATGTATGTATGATTTTGCCCCTTTCATCCTCTCCCCCACCCGCTAACGTGCTGGTCCAGCGAGGCGGGACTTTTACAGATTGTGTGGGCAACCCAGGAACTGGGCGCTTGGAAGATGACATTGTTATCAAGCTACTATCCGAAGATCCCTCTAACTATCAGGATGCGCCGCTGGAAGGCATTCGGCGCATACTCTCCCGGTTTACGGGCCGCGAAATCGCCCGCGGCGAGCCTATCGACACATCCCCCATCCAGAGCATTCGCATGGGCACCACCGTGGCCACGAATGCTTTGTTGGAGCGTAAAGGCGAGAGGATTGCGCTGGTGGTCAGCAAGGGCTTCAAAGACTGCCTTCAGATTGGCAATCAGTCCCGGCCCAAGATATTTGCCCTGGGAATCAGACGGCCCGAGGTGCTCTATGAAGAGGTCATCGAGATAGATGAGCGCGTGACTCTGGAGGATTATGCAGAAGATCCCGAACGCAATGTCACAGCGACAGTCCCTCGGGAACAGACGGCCCCAAAAGCCGACATTGTCCGGGGCTTGTCCTCCGAAGCAGTCCGCATTTTGAAACGGCCGTCAGAGAGCACGGTGAGATCTCAGCTGCAGCGAGTGTATGACAATGGATTCCGCAGTATCGCCGTTTGTCTCATGCATGGGTACACTTTTCCTGACCATGAGGCGCTGGTGGGGAGAATTGCTACCGAGATAGGCTTCCAACATGTTAGCCTGAGCCATCAGCTCATGCCAATGATCAAACTGATCCCGCGAGCAACTTCAGCATGTGCCGATGCATATCTGACTCCAACTATCAAGAAGTATATTGCTGGGTTCCAAGCGGGCTTTGAGGGCGGGCTGGGAACCGAGAGTGTGAAGCGACTGGAAGGTGCCCGAGGTGCACGCTGCGAATTCATGCAGTCAGACGGTGGTTTAGTAGACGTGGACCAGTTTTCGGGCCTGCGAGCCATCCTCTCCGGTCCAGCGGGTGGCGTGGTTGGATATGCATTGACTTCATATGATCCGGTGTCCAAGATCCCCGTTATTGGTTTTGATATGGGTGGTACCAGTACAGATGTCAGCAGATACGGATCTGGTCGATACGAACATGTGTTTGAGACAACTACTGCCGGAGTGACCATACAATCCCCCCAGCTCGATATCAACACTGTGGCGGCAGGAGGCGGCTCTAGGCTCTTTTACCGCAATGGCCTCTTTGTAGTGGGCCCGGAATCAGCAGGCGCACATCCAGGACCGGCGTGTTATCGCAAAGGCGGGCCGCTGACGGTGACAGATGCGAACCTCTTCCTCGGTCGACTAGTCCCTGATTTCTTTCCCAAGATATTTGGCCGCAATGAAAACCAGGGGTTGGACGAGCACGCGAGTCGGCATTTATTCGAGAAACTGACAAAAGAGATCAATCGTGAATTAGCCAAGGGAGGGCAGGATAGAGAAATGAGTCCCGATGAGGTTGCCTTCGGCTTCATCAAAGTCGCCAATGAGACAATGACTCGCCCGATTCGGTCTCTGACAGAAGCAAAGGGACATGATACCTCGAAACACCGACTAGCTACGTTTGGAGGTGCCGGTGGCCAGCATGCAGTGGCTATTGCCGAGAGTCTGGGGATTCGACAAATCCTAATTCACCGATATTCGTCTGTACTTTCTGCATATGGAATGGCTCTGGCCGACGTGGTTGATGAGAACCAAGAGCCAGAGTCTAAAATATGGGTTGAGGATGACCAGACGGTTCGGCAAGAGCTCAGACGCAAGATGGAAGATTTGAAGCAAAAATCCAAACAAAGGCTACATGACCAAGGATTTGACGACGACTCCATAGTATTCGAAGAATATCTCAACATGAGATACCGCGGGACAGAATCCTCGCTCATGATAGTCAACCCCAGCAAAGAAGAAGCGGGTCTTCACTATGGTGCCGATGATTGGGCTTTTGGAAAAGCGTTTATCGAGCATCATGAGCAAGAATTCGGCTTTACCCTCCCTGATCGAGACATCATCGTGGATGATGTACGGGTTCGGGGAATCGGGAAGAGCTTCCAAATGTCTGAGAAGACCGTGGATCAGCAACTCCAGGAGTCTCGACCCAAGGACGTAGTAGAGGGAGCACATCGCATGTCTCGGGTGTACTTCGAAAACGGCCGCCATGAAACCCCAATTTACAAGCTGGATGAATTGAAGATCGATGATCGGGTGACAGGACCAGCGATTCTGGCTGATGATACGCAGACAATCGTCGTGCCACCAGGTGCCACGGCACTCTTGACAAAGACCCATGTTGTCATCAACATAGGGGAGGCCGACGGCAAAAGCACCAGAATAGATACAGCCACCGTGGACCCTATTATGCTGAGTGTCTTCTCCCATCGTTTTATGGCCATTGCTGAACAAATGGGTCGTGCATTGCAGAAAACAAGTGTGAGCACGAACGTCAAAGAACGTCTTGACTATTCGTGTGCCTTGTTCGACGCCGACGGCGGGCTCGTTGCGAATGCACCACATCTGCCTGTCCATCTTGGCAGCATGTCCACTTGTGTCCGTATTCAGGCCCGCATCTGGCAGGGCAAGTTGAAGCCCGGCGATGTCCTTGTGTCCAACCACCCCGAATTTGGTGGAACACATCTTCCCGATATCACCGTCCTCCAGCCTGCTTTCAGCAAGGGGAAGATCATCTTCTACGTGGCGTCTCGCGCACATCATGGTAAGGGCCTCGCCTTCAATGAGGAAAAGATATTTGGCTTGCTCTAACATCTTCTAGCTGATATTGGGGGCATTCTTCCGGGCTCCATGCCGCCTCATTCTAAAGAGCTGTACCAGGAAGGTGCGGCAATCAAAAGCGAGAAACTGGTTTCAGAGGGCCGATTCAACGAAGAACGGATCACTGAGCTTCTTTACAATGAACCGGCTAAATACCCCGACTGCAGTGGTACTCGCTGCCTGCCGGATAATCTGAATGACCTCAAGGCCCAAATTGCTGCAAACAAGAAAGGTATTAACTTGATCAGTGCTCTGATCGAGGAATACGGCGAAGAGGTCGTCTTGTTCTACATGCGGCACATTCAAGACAATGCAGAGCTTAGTGTGCGCAACCTGCTAAAAGAGGTCAGCAAGAAGTTCTCCGGTCGAGACCTCCGGGCCATTGACTATATGGACGACGGAAGCCCTATCCAACTGAAGATCTCCGTCAATGGGGATAGTGGCGAGGCTGTTTTCGATTTTGATGGAACAGGGCCCGAGGTGTACGGTAAGTACACACAGGACGAATCAAGGCAGTGAGTGCTACGAGAAGAGAATTGACTCATTATGGCAGGCAATATCAACGCCCCTGAGGCTGTCACTTACTCCGCCATCATCTATTGCCTGCGGTGTCTGATATCTGCGGACATTCCTCTAAATCAGGGCTGTTTGAAGCCAATCAACGTTCGAATCCCCCCAAATTCTCTCTTGTCACCATCCGAATCAGCCGCAGTGGTGGGCGGCAACGTTCTCACGGTATGGCAACCCTTCGCTGAAGTCCGATGAGGGTGCAAAGCTCACTATTCTCCAACGTTTAGAGTCAACGCGTAACTGATGTCATTTTGAGATGCTTCTACGCCTGTGCAGCTTCACAGGGCGATACAAATAACCTGACCTTCGGATTTGGCGGCAATATGCATGGGAAAACAGAGACTAAAGGGTTTGGATACTATGAAACGATCGCTGGAGGCAGCGGGGCCGGGCCGAACTGGGTAGGTACCTCAGGCGTTCACACGCATATGACCAACACACGAATCACCGATGCCGAAGTGTTCGAGAGGAGGTATCCTGTCTTGCTTCGGGAGTTCAGCCTACGGCCCAACTCAGGGGGAAGCGGCCTGCATCGCGGCGGTGATGGAGTGATTCGGGACATCGAGTTCCGGATCCCAGTGCAGGTATCGATTCTTTCCGAGCGAAGAGTTTACCACCCTTACGGGCTAGCAGGTGGTGGGGATGCTCAGTGTGGTCAGAATATCTGGGTCCGCAGAATACCTAAATCTGATGGAGGCTGGGAGGAGAGACACATCAATCTGGGAGGGAAGAACTCGGCCCAGATGCAGCCAGGGGAACGGATCATCATCCGCACCCCGGGAGGGGGCGGTTGGGGTCGGCCTGGAGATCAGAGCGACCTTCGTGATGAGCGAGATGCACGTCATCCTTGGCATGGTGGCTCCATTGCAAACCGCACAGCGACTCAAGAGGCCAGCATGTGAATCTACTGAGGTGTTAGTGTAGTCAAGATGTGTTTAATGGTAGACACTACGACATGGTAGGAATAATAAGACAGTATAGCGCTTGCCCTAAATACCTCTGGCCAGGTTCGAGACACAGGTATAATTCATCTGGTAGTTTACACGGGAGCCTATGCACCCTGCCATGGAGATACCAACATCCAGATGCTAATTTGCCGTACCCGGCGGAACATATCAGGCGTCATCCTGCTCAGCCAAAGCCATCTGTCCAATGCGAACCAGGTCATCATTGCTCAGTGTGTTCTTTTCGAATCCATTTATTACCTGGTCTAACAGAGCTGCGGCAATTCCAGCCAAGTCGATGTGTGGGAGGCCGGGGATTTCCCGCCTCTCCCTCTCAGGAGCGTCGATGAGCCCGGGCTTGACGACACAGGACTGGACGGCGCCTTTAGACTTCTCCCCATAAGTGAGGATTAGTGTTTCAGCCTCACCCTGGAGCGGCTCGGATTAGCATTTTCATTGCCATATGAGATCTGGAAGAGAGGGCAGGAAAAGGAATCTTGGCTCTCGTGTCCGCGCATACCCGTAATAGGCCGTAGTTAATGAGGCCGTGGTCTTGCAATTCTTTCGGTACCTCAGCCGGGCTGCGGGGGGCAAAATGGCCGCTCATGTAGAGAAAGCGCAGAGGTCTAGCTTGCTTGTGGCGGAGGGCATCGAGTGCTTGGATGGCCGACGTAGCGTAGTCGCGGGAAATCTTACACGTCTCCTCAAACGGGGTGGTCTTGAGCTTCATCGGCGTCACGGCAATGGTCCTATTTTTGGAGTCAATGATATGGTTCTCCGGTGTGTTCAAACAGCTGGGCTGATTGATCCCATCGACACCGGGCCACAAACTAGAAGGACAGTATATGAAATGGGAACGTCTAGATGGTATTAAGATGGCGGGGGAGGTAAGCATACCAGATACAGGCATCCGCATTCTCCAGCTCCTTTTTAACGCTGTCTGGATAGCTCTCAAAGTTGTCGCAGACGACAACCTTCAGCTTTGGGGTCGCTAGAAGTGCGGGAGTCTCACGCCGGCCGAGGGCGACGATAGAGGTTATAGCAGGGTTCTCGAGACCCTGGCGGATTAGCTCTGTGGCGACAAAGCCCGTCGAGCCACCGATCACAAGCTTCATATTTATATAGTCGCGGCGATAATGAAAGAGAGTTGGGGTAAATCAAGTTTGCAATTATGGGGTAGGTGAGATCAATCCGTAGTCCCTATTTGTGTAGACTCAGGCGGGGTGGGACGCCTTACCCAGCTCAGGCTCCTCGGTTTTGTGCGGGGGTAAATATTATACCCAAGTGAGAGATACGATATTATAAGAGATCTTAAGCTTGGAAAACGAATACGAACATGAAATACCCTGCTATTAAGTAAGGAATGGGCGTTAAAGCCTGAAGTAAAGATAAGATGCTTTTGACTATATGAAAAGTTCCTTAGCCTGATAATTGGGAGCTCTCTTCCTATTAGTTCGGGACCCATTGATAGCGAAAGGGAAAGTACTACTACTCAAATAAAGATATGATATATTAGTACATATAGTAACATGTATATAAACGTACGGTATATAATAAACAACTTTCTCCTAGTAAAATCGTTCCCCTGAATTATCTCGCCTAGGGTTCCTAATGGGACTAGCGCTAAGACCGTGCCCAAATTATAACGCGAAATAGCACTTTGACTTTCTCCTAGTTCCCTTAAACTCTTGACAATAAATCTTCCAACGTGCCAAAATCAAGTAGAGAGGCAAGCGAATATAAAGCTATAGAGAGGAACTAGACGCAATAGCCACGACAATACTAAATAAGATCTACTTTTTCCCTTTTAAAGATAAACTAGAAACCTGATAGGACTATAGCTCGTCTAACTGATAACCAGTCAAATGGAAAAATAAAAAAGTAGCTAAGGCTAAAATTTTTGTGAATAATATTTTCACCTTTCTATACTACTACTAGGCTAATCCTATACGATCTTCACTTACTGTGGATATCTATCATCTATATAAGACCATCTCTACAGTATATGCTGATAAAGATTACTAGCGTATTCAGATCAATAACATCTAGTAGCTAAGCGATACCAAGGAGGCTTAGAACGGTTTAGCCTTCTAAGTAAAGTAAAGTAGTCTTGACCTAGTGAGGGATAATTCTATAACTTATAACCATAGCTGTTACTACGCGAATGAAGTTAATAAAGATGCCTAATCCCCTGATATTTAATAATAGAGGATAAGTACTCCAAGTACCAAGTAACCACGATCAAGAACAGGGAGATTACCCACGCTACTAGCGATTTAAGGGATATATATTAGCCCTTAACCCTATGAGGAATATACAAAAGCGGATCAGGACGCCCCTAAGCCCCTAAAATACGTTATCTTAATTTTTAGGTATATTATTAGATTATAGTTATTTAACTAAATTAAGCGTCGTTCCTTATAGTTAGGAAGTACTTTATAGTAATTTAAACTATATTTGTCTAGGAATAATTTTACATGATCCAAACTCTACTATAAGCATAAGGATTTATACTTGTTACTAACTATTAATATAGGGTATATCAAGGTCTACTATATAGGTAATTGTCTAAGATCTCTATCTACTAAATGTATTTATGAAGGAAACTAGATTATATAGAGTTTTAGCTATTAGTCTAAGGGAATAGTACGATATAGCTATATTAACAAATTTGAGCTATTACTTTATATCTATAAGACCTAAAACATTAAAACTAATTGATAGTTTATTTGCCTAATGTAACTTACTTAACATACCGCCGCGATGTATGAATGCTATTACGATTATTTAGTAGCCAAGCGATGTTAACTAGGTATTAAAAATAACATATTTTATCTAAATCAATTTTATTAGGTATATAAGGATACTATTCAGAGACCTAGGAAGGAGGCTTCTCTTAGAATTAGCTTTTCTTACCTTAGTATTATTGTTATTATCTTTAAGGGTAGTTAGACTAATTAAACTAGGAGAGATAGGGGTATCAGTAGATAATATAGTACACCGTATTTATTATACCTAAGTCCATTTTGTTGGGGGTAACTATATATAATACAGCCTCTTTCTTATAGGAAAGTATCTCGAGACCTTTCTAGAGAAAATACAACTATATATTTAGCTAGTTTAGTCATTAAGTATTACCGTAATAGCGGGTTTCTAACCGTGAAGTGGAAGTAACACTGGGGGGAACTAAAAATTAAAATAGTGCTTTTAATCCTTAGGTATGCATAGTAAGTAATAGTAGTTTAAAGGGAGACCTAGATTAATTAGTTTTAGTAGTAATAGGCGAATTCCTTAAGTTTCCTAAAGTATTATTAGCTTCCTATCAAAAGTCCAGAAGTAATCTTATTATACAGGTTTTCATTCTGGAATCTTTCTATACTCTCTACTTCTTAAGCTACGTAGATAGATTCAGCGAGAGTTTTGTTAGAGTCTTAATGCTAAAATAAATAAATACCTTAAAAATAAAACCACTTCAAAGCTTACCATAACCACCCCCCTACGCGATTCTATAATAGCTAGTGTTAAACCCTATCTATTAAGATATATATTAATAAGATAGCCTTATTAAATAATAAGAAGACTAAAAGCGAGTTAAAGCGTTAGTATAGATACTCTACCTAAGATAATGTTTAAAAGATAGAGCTCTTTAAAAATTGATACCTACTTCCAAGGATTCTAGTTAACGTCTTCAGATAGGTAAGGTTACTAAATAGATAACACAATGGTCAGTACCACTAGTCTCTAGGGTGATAAATATATTACCTTCCTCTTCTAAAATTAACTAAATTATTAATAAGATAGAGTAAAAAAAGTAGACTGTTATATGTTATAACTTTACCGATATCTTAAAGTATAAATCTAATACCCTTTTACCTTTTTATACTAATATTAAGTATAGGATTCGCCTTAAAAAATAAGGTTACACTATATATATGCTTTATAATACCTACAGAAGAACTTGAGCTAGATTACTAATATATATTCAATAATTTAACGTAATCGGTAAGCGAGTGGGCCATGTAAGCCAGTGGGCCACCCAAAACACCATAGTAAATGCGATAATTTACAACTCGATATTTTAACAACCACAAGTTTATTTTATCGGATTATTAGTGTGATAGTATTTATAATTATAAAGAATAGCGTGAGCTTATTTAAATTAATATTGAATAATTAGTTTAGTACGTTACCAAAAAAATACATGGCCACTGAGTGTCGGATATATATATCTAAACCACTTACTCTCAAAATTTGTCAAAACTTTATAAATAGGCTATGTATGAACTAAATAGTACTATGACACAATTAAATCTTATATGAAGCTATTGTTGTTGAAATGTCTAGTTCGCATTTACTGTGGTGTTTTGGGTGGCCCACTGGCTTACATGGCCCACTCGCTTACCGATTACGTTAGTAAAGAGATTTTATTAGGCTAGGCTAAGTACTGATTATATCTCTAATTATTATAGTGTAAAGGAAGGAGTAGTAGGATTCTAGACTACTAAAAACTAGATACTATTATTACCTCAAATACCCCTTCCTATCTATTAACAAACTTTATAGTATAACGTATTCGGTAAGCGGGCGACGTATGCAACAGAGCGCTATACCCTAAAACACTATAGTAGATAGATTATTTTTACAACTTAATAATTTAACGAGTTATCTACGTTACGAAAGAAATATACTTCAACTACGTAATAAATATATATATCTAAACCGTTAGTAAATTTCTTAAAACTCTAGAAATAGGCTAGTTATACTATAAGTAGTATTAGGATATGATTAAATTGTATATTAAGCTATTATTATTAGGATTTTAGGTTATAGAATATCATGTTTACTAACGCTAGCTGTACGAAATTTATATCTATCCTAATTCTAGAAACCTTACGACCTTCGTATATAGCATAGGTCCTATAGATATAAAAGCAATACCTTTTAGGGTAGTAAATAGTTATATAATATCGTAGTACTTATATTAATAGTGATTTAAGCGAATATATTAATAAACTCGCTACTATTTTTATAGATAATTTTATAACGCCTAAGAAATTTGATTTTAGGTAAGCCTTAAGTCTAAATTTTATATTAAATTCACATAGATTTATTATTTATTAGTATAGACGGACTTCCTATTGATAAGAAGATTTTAATATAGATAGGGGGTTTCTTTCATTTTCTTTCATTCTTAATTATTCTTTAGTTGCCTAAGGAATAATAGCTCCTATACGTATAGCTAGTCTACTGTAACTGAAGAAATATCTTAGGCAAATCTAGACTATAGTTATACTAAAATACCCTTAATAAACTTATAATAGCTAGTTAACTCTGGATCCTCCTTATCACCTCGTCTGTCCGACGCCAGTTAAATTAACGTGACTTTTTAGCGCATACAATTAGTGTAGTACTGAGGCTTTTTATTGGTTAATCGCGACAAATTCCAGTAATAAGACGTATTAGTGCAATTTTAGAATTACATAATTCAAAATTGCCTAATTAGGACTATGAAATTCATCATAGCGACTTTTCAGAGAGAACCACATTACCATAATAATAGCCAGATTTTGATTGTGGCGCTTGTAGACCCTTTATTTCATCTTCCTTTCTCTTGTAGTAAATAACGCTATATATAGGGTCGTAGCCTATTTGGTTGAATTAGCTAGTTATTAGGCCCAAGATGTGGCTTTCGTGGATCGATATCTGCTAAATCTAGCTCTTAAAATATAGCCAACTAGCTGGTTTGTCTCCCTACTAATACTTATAGATATATTGGATTTGAAAAGCATTAATGATTGCACGTTAAGAAGTAAAGAGGTAGAAACCAATTGCAATTACCATTGCGATAGGTCTCATGGGAAGCCAGCCTTATAATTTACTATATCGACCCCACCTAATATAATAGTTGTGGTTATTAATAGCAACAGTGACTTCTTAATTTTCATTTCTAAGCGAGACTTTAGCATTCGTGTAAGTTGCTATAGGCCACCGTCGATAGTAGAAGTACTACATTATGTTCATACTAAGTGAGATAGACGACTCCCTAAACTTTAGAAGCATACAAATTGCACCATAGAATAGCCTTAACATACTCCTTTAGCTTAATAATATAGTT